AAACAGGTCACAATGTGGAATGGAGGGCATTCGAATGCGTCGCCTAACAACCCAGTGAGCGACGACTCGGATGATGAATATGAGGCAGCTGCCGTCGCGGCTGTCCTCTGGTATTACCACACATACATGGAGAGACCCCCACCTCGACCTAAGCACACCTCCGCGTTGACAGGTATTATGCGTGTTGATTACTTACTTGATGGCCACGATGACATAATTCGGAATAAGATTAGGATGGGCAGTGACTGTTTTAAGCGTCTTAGTTCACTACTAGAAGGTAGAGGACTACTGAGACCCACTAGGAATATGAATGTAGACGAACAGCTTTTTATCTTCCTATATATTGTCTCACAAAGCCAAAGCAATAGGGAATCACAGGACCAATGGCAGCATTCGGGATCCACCATTTCCAAATACTTCCAGGTAGTATTGGATGCAATATTTAACCTGCGCCATGATTTTATAACACCCCCGAATTATAACATTACTGATCCAGTCATTGCGGCGCATGGAAGCAAGTATTTGCCATGGTTTCAGGTATGACAATATGAATGAGTCATATGCTTATCAAATTAATTGACGTAATTGATAATAGTTGTTGTTAATTGATTACAGAATTGCGTTGGAGCCCTTGATGGGACTCACGTCCCTTGTGTTCCACCACCCGGTAACCCCGAAGTATGACGGAATAGGAAGGGTTTTTACTCCCAAAATGTGTTAGGGGTATGTTCATTTGACTTGAAGTTTACTTACATCTTAGCTGGATGGGAGGGCTCTGCCCATGATGCGCGCGTTCTTGCGGATGCAACAAGTACAAGAGATAAAAATTTCCCAAATCCACCGCCAGGTATGCGAACAACAATCCTTGCTATACATTCAATATAGAATAAGTATTGTCGGTTGGTTGTCAGAACTTAATTATTGATTTGTAATGGTTAATATAGGGAAATACTACCTTGTAGACTCTGCCTACGCGAATACCAATTGTTTCTTGGCGCCGTACCGGGGGAGCACATATCACCTTCAAGAGTATAGGGCAAGACGTGGCCGTCCTCGAACTCAGCGTGAGTTGTTTAATTATACGCATTCGTCCCTAAGAAATTCTATTGAGCGCACTTTCGGTGTTTGGAAAGCACGGTTCCGCATACTAAAGTGCATAAATAATTACCCAATAGAGAAACAGATACAAATTCCTGTTGCTTGTGCCGTGCTTCACAATTTCATACATATGTACAACCATAACGACGAGCTACTAAACCAGTACACACGAGACGGAGTACCAGTTGTTGATATTGATCCGGAGAATGCGGATCAAGATGTTAATCAGAATCACAATCCTGATCGGGCAATGGAATAAAATCACAACTCCGCAAATCGTAGGGAAATGAATATTTTGAGGGATGAGATGGCTGCTAGCATGTGGGGGGCATTAGAAGCATATCGCAATCGGTAGTTACATATATTTGTTTCGTAATTTCAACGATTAATATGAGTTTGTAATGCTAAACTTATGGACGTTTTTATTATTATATATGAATGTATGTGTTTATGGTTTCTCTCTTTAAAAAAATTCATGTCAAAACTTGCTAAAATTGGAGTTATGTTTTTTTCAAAGGTGAACACAAAACTCAAGTTTAACATTCACAAACTAACTAAGTGAACACACAACTCAAATTTGAAACTCAATTCCAATTAAACTCACTTTTTTAACTCTAATCTTGAATTTCAAACTATTGAAAAGAACGCACCCTCAGTATTCCCGCGTCCAAACGAGCCGAAAAGGGAATTTTTGACCGTTGCGTTGGCGCCATTTTCACCAGAATCTCTCTTTATTTTTATTTAATTTGGTTTTGTGGGGTACACTTAAACGCGGTTGTTGAGAGCAATAACGTGTTATTTACTCTCCGCGTGTCAAACGGGGTTTTGCTAACAAGAATAGACAAAATTCCATGAAAATTTCCGTACCGTACGTGATTAATGACGTGGCTGCATATGATAAGGTGGATTTTTTTAACTGAGAAAAAGGAAGGGCATTTTTTTAGCATCTTTTTCAAAAATGACTATTTTATTTATAAAGTCAATTGACTTACCATCAAATCAGTTTTGATAGACTCACGATCAATCAGTAAAATTAATTAATTATTAATTAATATTAATTAATAATAAAATAATTATTAATTTAATTAATAATTAATAAATCGTTAAAATCAATAAGTGATTAATTGTTAAATTAATTAGTTATAAATAGATAAGTTAACTAGATTGATTATTAAATTAATAACACCGATTGTTTTTACAGTTTTACAGCATTTATGAAAAAATCTTTTAACAAAGGATTATTTATGCTGAAAAAACAACGTTTAGAGGGGGGGAAAAAAAAAGAGTTGGACCATAATACTTTATTTTAACAAGTAAAGGAGACGGCAAGACCAAAAACTGTTGACTTTATTCTCATGAGTTTGAGGCAGAGACAATTTGCTTCTCAACGAGGCTAATGGCGGCCTATAGTTGTTCTCTGGTTTGGTTTAGGCTTAATCCCGTAAAGTTTGCAATATTTCTCGGAAAATCAAGCCAGACAAAGATACCCCTCTCTCTCTCTCTCGTTTGACTTGTTGTGTCAGGTCTCTCTCTCTCTCTCTCTCTCTCTCTCTCTCTCTCTCTCTCTCTCTCTGTTTCTGTTAAGTCACTGCAAAGCTGTTTTCTTGGTTATGTGAGTAAGCTGTTTTCTGTCAAGTTGAGTAAGCTGCATATTAGGTGGTTCTAATATGCTGTTTGGTTGCCCAGAATTTGAGTAGTTTAAAGGGAAGAAAAAAAAACACAGAATAGAAAATGCGATTTTGGCTGTTTAGTGCCTGAGAAAGTGATGAAAAAAGGAAAGAAATGAAAAACACGTCGTCTTTTCTTAGCTAGCAAACGGAGCATAATATGTGAAGGCTCGCCTTTTCGCTATTTCATCTTATTTTGATTTTGATTTGATGGCCTCAGAGAGCAGATTTTTTGTTCTCGCAATTTTTTTTTGGACCAAATTAATATAATAACCTTTAGCTGATTATGAGTAGTTATGACAGAGTCAATTGATTTAATAAGAGAAGAATACTTAGAACACGAGGATCAATGTTTTTGTTTCTTTTTCATTATTTCGCTGGCTTCTTTAACAACCAAATAGTGTAATAAATATAATCCATATATATATATATATATATGTTTATATTTGTTCATATAGGGATATATGTCTTTCCAGATTATGGTACGTGAAGAAGAAAATGAACAGAGTGATTAGCATTATCAGTTCCTCAACCATGAACATTGTATCAATTTGGTTTATTAAATTTTTTTCTTGGCAGATTACTTTCTAAATTTTGATTTTTAATGGCAGTTATAGTCTCCAACACTAAAATAAACAAATCATTTATGAAATTTGACATAGTAATTACGTCCCAATTACATAATAAACTTACAACATTGTAGCTCTGATGTGATAAGAAAGTGAATTGGGCTTTTGTTCTTTATTACTAGTTCTGATTCTGATATGATAATAATGTGAATTGGATTTTTGTTCTTATCAACAGCAAACTGGTCAGGATTCCACCTTTTTCTAGCTAAATTGTGATTCAATTAAAGCTCAAGGAGTGTTTTTTTCTTTGACCATATATTTTCATCACATCAGACAATGGCCAAGGATGTTATAGTCAGTCTCTCACTGATTCCAGCTTCTGAGTTACTCTCTCACATTGTCCTTGACTTATTGGAAACTGCACAAGCTGCAAAACAAGTACTCTTTCAGAAAGAAAATTTTAGCGCATTCTCAACATACTTGGAGAAAATCTCGGCCATCTTGAAAGAGTTGTTGAAGCAAAACCTCAACCATTTGGAGAGCTTCACGAATGCTCTAGGGATTCTCGACCGAGAGTTGAAGGTTGCTAATCAGTTAGTTGTAGAGTGCAGCAAAAGGAACAAGGTTTATCTCTTAGTTAATTGTAAGAAGATTGTTAATCAATTAGATAGAAGTACTAAAGGGATTAGTCGAGCGCTGAGCTTAATCCCTCTGGCTTCTTTGGATGTCTCGTCGTCAATAAATAGCCAGATTTGCAAGCTGTGCCAGAACATGTTGGATGCAGAATACCGGGCAGCTGTGGCTGAGGAAGAGATCTTGGCAAAGATTGAGTTGGGAATACAAGAGAGGAATGGCACTCGATCTTATGCGAACGGTTTGCTAGTTCAGATTGCAGAGGCTCTTGGATTGTCCACTGAGCAGTCAGAGCTGAAAAAGGCATATGAGGAATTCAAGCGCGAGATAGAAGACACCAAGCTGAGGAAGGAACAGGAAGAGTCTTTTCAAATGGAGCAGATAATTGCTTTGCTTGAGAATGCTGGTGCCACGACATCTGCTGAGGAGAAAGAGAAGAAGTATCTTGAAAGGAGAAACTCTTTAGGCAGTCAGCCTTTGCAGCCTCTTCAAGGGTTCTATTGCCGCCTCACTCATGACGTTATGGTGGACCCAGTTGAGACTTCCTCTGGCCAGACATTTGAGAGAAGTGCTATAGAGAGATGGATTGCAGAAGGGAAAAATCTGTGTCCCTTGACAAATATTCCCTTGGGCACTTCGGCTCTACGGCCAAATATAACTCTTCGGCAGTCCATTGAAGAATGGAGAGATAGGAACACTATTATCACCATTGTATCCAATAAACAAAAACTCCAATCGAGTGAAGAGGAAGAAGTCCTGCAATCCTTAAGCAAGCTGCAAGAGTTGTGCGCCGAAAGAGATTTGCATAGAGAATGGGTGACCATGGAGGACTACATACCAATTCTCATCGGACTTCTTGGTGCGAAAAATCGAGAAATAAGGAGGCATGCTCTTAGCATCCTTTCCATCCTTGCAAAGGATACTGAAGAGAATAAGGTAGTGTCAAACAACCTTTTTTTGTGTGTTTTCTCTCATAGTTTATTTCAAGAGGTGTAGAGTGCTTATTTGACTTGGAATACTATAATGGTTTTTGAATTGAAGATAGAAGATACTTTCTATTCATGAACCAAATTACTGTTTGGCAGGAAAAGATCGCTAACGTTGATAATGCATTGAAATCCATTGTTCACTCACTTGCACGCCAACATGAGGAGAGTAAGTTGGCATTGGAATTGTTATTGGAACTATCTACAAGCATTGCAGCGCGAGATACGATGGGAAATATTCAGGGCTGCATACTTCTCCTGGTGACTATGTTAAAAAGTGGAGATATCCAAGTTGCAGGAGAGGCACAAGAGCTCCTAGAGAATCTGTCTTTCCTTGATCAAAATGTCAAACAAATGGCGAAGGCAAATTATTTTAAACCATTGTTGCAGCGTCTTTCTTCAGGTATTCTGGGAAGTCATATTGTAGGATTCTTCAATGTATGATTAAAAAAAATATATAGCATAAGAAGGGGCTAAGATTGCAGGGAAAATCTTAAATTCACTTCTAATCTTTTAAACGCTTTTGTTATTGTGGTTTATGATGTGATGCAGGACCAGAAGATATTAGATTGAGCATGGGTGAAACTCTGGCAGAAATCGAGCTGACTGATGACAGCAAACTATCTATCGTTCAAGACGGGGCATTGGGGCCAGTTATTCAAATGCTCTCACACAGTGACTTGGAGATGAAGAAAGTGGCTGTTAAATGTCTTCTGCAGCTCTCTAAGTTACCACAAATTGGCCTGCAAATTATTAGAGAAGGCGTGGTCGCACCGCTGTTTGAAGTTCTCTATCGTCACAGCTTACAACTACCGGCATTGCGTGAACAGGTTGCTGCAACAGTTATGCATCTTTCCATATCAACCACCAACCAGGAATCTAATGAAGAGCAGGTTTTGTTGTTGGAATCTGAGGAAGACATCTTTAAGCTTTTCTCCCTCGTATCTCTAACTGGTCCTGATATACAACGAAACATTCTCAAGACCTTCCACGCGTTGTGCCAGTCTCCTTCTGGTCTAGACATCAGAATGAAGTTAAGACAGGTAGCCGTTTCATGATCTTAGAAGGCAAACTTAAAAACCATCGTATAAAAGAAAAATAGAAGTTCCTTTCTTAAATGATTAATGGATTTTTACGTTTCTACATGATTCGCAGCTATCCGCCGTCCAAGTTTTGGTTCAACTGTGTGAGGCAAATCATCACGCAGTGCGAGCAAATGCTGTGAAGCTCTTATGCTGCCTGATGAAAGATGGAGATGACAACGCCTTCTTGGAGCATGTCAGTCAGAGATGCATTGAGACCTTGCTCAGGATCATTGAGACATCTAATGATGTGGAGGAGATTGCTGCTGCACTTGGTATTGTAGCTAATCTTCCAAAGAGTCCAGAGAGAACTCAGTGGCTTCTGGATGGAGCGGCGCTTCGAATCATTCACGCATGTGTCGCTGATGGGAATAGAGATGCCTCGTACAAAAGGCAGGTAGTGGAGAATGCTGTTGGAGCTCTTTGCCGCTTCACAGTATCCACAAACCAAGAATGGCAGAGGAGAGTAGCTGAAGCCGGCCTCATAAAGGTGCTGGTACAGTTTTTAGCTTCCGGAACTGCTCTCACAAAACAAAACGCAGCCATTGCACTCAAGCAGCTTTCAGAAAGTTCAAGAAGCCTGAGCAAGCCAGTTAAGAAACTTGGGATTTTCTACTGCTGCATTTCTTCACCTGAAACTAGTTGCGCTGCGCATTTGGGCATCTGCAGCATTGAGTCTTCATTCTGCATTTTAGAGGCTAATGCGGTTGACCCCCTTGTGAGAATGCTCGGAGAGCAAGATGACAGAACCTGTGAGGCTTCTCTCGACGCACTTATGACGTTGATTGATTCCCAAAAACCCCAGGATGGCAGTAGGGTTCTTGAAAATGCTAATGCCATTCCAGCAATTATAAAGTTACTGAGTTCAAACTCTGTAAGACTGCAAGGGAAGTGTCTAAGGAGTCTAGAGATGATATTTCAGTTGGATGAGTTGAAACGAAAATATGGAAGTTTAGCTCAGATGCTACTAGTTGACATTGCTCAAAAGAAAGCTGATGATCTAAAAGAGATCAAATCTCTAGCTGCCAAAGTACTCGTTCAATTGGGTGTGTTAGGTTCCCAGTCTTCTTTTTTCTGATTAAAAGATTACTGTAAATTCTTGATTGTTCTCTTCGAGGAGAAATATGTAGATTAATTTTTAAACTTGAAACCTCATTCTAGCGATATGCATATATTGGACAAAATTTTTGAAGATTGGCGTGGGAAGTTGTATAATTGAAATTGTGATCTTTTTTTTTTTTCCCCCCGTGTTTATACCTGAAATATTCTTATTTCCATAGACTCGGATGCGCGAATATTGATTCTATAGTACGATGTAAGGGGTGTTCATGGAAGCTTTTTTTTATTATTATTATATTATTGTAAATTACAAGGAGTTCTCAATAGCAGTAGCAGATAACAATGGAAAACTGTATAAAGCATGATCACGTAATAAAGAAGATTGAAAAGAACAATTTCTAGAAAATGCTCAATTAAATCTATAACCACATTGCTCATAAGTTTTTGGTCGTGCATGCAGTTTTTGAATATTAAACTAAAGCGTAATAGGCTATTTACAGAGAGAAGAAAAAGAAAAAGAAATATCCTAGTGTAGAACAGCCTAAAAACTAAACGCAAGAAAACATATGAATTAGAAAACTGGACAGCCATCCACAATGATCCCCGGTGCAGTTGGACAAGCAGCCAAAGGACAGCTCTCCGGATTGTTTCCCCACCAGTTAAGACCAATGTTTTGAGCTCCAAGAGCAAGGAATATCAGTATTGTCATGAAAGCAGTTCCGGCGTCCAGACCCCCGGATAGGACATAGTTGTTGCGCTTCCACCAGTTTGGGTGGTACCGGTACATGTAATACCCGGAGAAGAATCCGACCGCAATCCAACTTGTAAAGTTCACTGCGGTAGCTGGTGGCATCATTGATGTGGAGCCTAAGAGGATGGGCATGTGGATGAGGCGAATCCACTTTTGTTGTGGAAAGGCCTTGTGCGCCATCCAGACAAGGATAGGGGCAATGGCACCAGCAAGGAAGAACCAGTTCACCAAGCCATACTCACCAAGGTCTCCGAAGATCCTGCGGGGCCCAACGAGTCCCCAGATGACCGACGCGTCGTAAAAAACTCGATCCATTGGACAAGTCCAAGGGCTGTCATGTGGCAGCATGGAGGTGTCACATAGGTGAGGGATCTCCTCCATCAGCCACCATGCAGTTAGAGTATATATCATCACTGAAACAAGAGTTCCCACAACCTGCATATTGCAGAAAGCTGCTTTAGTTTCTGATATTCCAAAAAACTTCGAAAGACAGAAGAAGAGAAAAGCTTGACATAAAAAAACTTCACCTGTGCCATGAACATTGCCCTTGGCGGAATCTTCATGTAGTGACCAAGCTTGAAATCTGCTACAAAGCTTAGAGCTTGAGCCATGCTTATGTAACCATACACCTTGAAGCACATGTTAGCAACTGGGCGTTCCGGGTAGATGTACCCGATTATGTATTCGGTGATCACATTCAAACCCGGTTGCTGTTTCAAGGAAAAGATGCAGAAAACAAGAAAATCAGTAAAGCTACATTCATTAGATTCACAAGCTTACTAAAGATAAAGCTCAAAAATAACTAAAAGTTTGAAATTTGTACCTGGTTTGTTGTGGCTTGGATGATCCCAATTGGAAGAGTGAACACAATTGCAATGCCACAGGCAAGCAGTACTCCCCACCAAGGTAATTGGAGTGATTCATTGTAGTATTCGCAGGCAAAGATGATGAGACCAATATTCACAACAAGAATGACAATAAACCACCAAGCAGGCACTGACTTGTACTTCTTCATAAGCTTTGCGTGTATATCCAATTTGTTACCGCCTCGAAAGGCCCTCGTGGTTTGCCTCCACAAGTCCCTGCAGCAACCAAAATTAGGTCCAAAATCCAATGAAACCTCATTAACATAAATCTATCCAAAGAAGCAGTAACTATTATATCATCACTATGGATATTAGTGTATTACCTTCCGTTGAAAAATAGAACATGCACAAGTGTAGCGGAGAGTGTGGCAAATCCAAGACCATATGTCATTGCAAAGAAGGTGCTCAAGTTTATAGGCCCGACCTTCGCGTAAGTACTCCGGTCAAGATGGAACTTAGGATCAATAATGTTCAGGATGTCGTAGTCAGAACCGTTGGAGGTGAAAAGGCCGCTAGAGAATATCGGGAAGGTCTTGGCATTGTAGACATTGTACCAATAAGTGATGGGGGTCATGACATACATTATGAGGAGAAATCCAATGGCTACATTTGCGGTAGCAAACCATGGACTAGCCAGAGGGCTACCGAGGTAAGATGAAATCGTCGACCAATCAATCCCAAAAGAAAAAAGTCCGAGACCTTGCATCCCGGAACCTATTTGTTGCCACGTGATTGTCTTGGGAGCAACCCAACAGACCCAAGAGATGGATGTCAACAACAAGAAGAAATATCCAGGAAGAATGTAGTAAGCAAAGCTGCAAATCAAGACTATCATGAAATATTGTGTACGGCTTGTGACACCTTTAACTCTTTTCTCCTTCTCATGAAGAGCTCTGCAGCGTTCAAAATTTATATATATATATATATATATATAATTAAGTATTGAATCAATAAAAAAAAAAACCAACAAAAGAGAAAAACAAAAAACTAGATATGAGTTTAATTACCTGAATAATGAGACTTGAACAAGGTTAGAGGGCCACCACATCTCTGGGGGCTCAACAAGATATTTTCTGAAAATTCCAGCCCAACCGAACCCCAATACCTGTAAATTAGAATTATTAAACATTACCAGAAAGAACATGAAAAGAATTTCCCATATAATTAAGCAGTAAACTTCAAAAACATAAGATTAACAAACAAGTATAAACTGAAACTATCTACAGTTTTTCAATGTGTAAAACAAAACACAAGTTATGCAAACAGTACAATAACCAACAGAGAGGGAAAAAAAAAAAAGTGCAACATAAAGTTTGTAAGCAATCATTCGCTACTTTTCACAATGCTCATCCATTATCCTTTGTTCTCTTAGAAATTACTATTAAAAAAAAATCAATAGTTCCCTTAACAATTACTTTCTTTTTTTTTTTGAAATCTTTTTCAATCACAAAATTCACACTTCATAGATAAAAAGGACACCAAAAAGCTGGAAACACTCTTTTTCTTTAATTAAATCTTTTATGATTTCCTCTATGAATTATCAATCACAAAAAAAAAAAAAAAAAACCAAAACAAAACAAAACAAAAAAAACTTATTAAGATCCCGTTCACTTCGCTGATTCGAGTTTAGAATTTAAATTTTTTTACAATAAAAAGCTCTTACAAACAATCACATCTAATTTTTTTACTACGGTAAAAAGTTCTCACATAAAATCATATCTCAACTCAAATTCTAAACTCGTATCAACAAAGCGAAGTGAAGTGAGCGAAGTCTAATTCTTTTTCCCTAAAAAGTCAAATTAAAAAAAAAAGCATGAAAACAAACTAACCTGAGTGGTGAGCATAACAATAAAGGCAGGCAAGAAAGTGAGCTTCCTCTTGTACAAGAGCTTAACCGCCGTCAAAATATGCGTGGCGTAAACAGTCCCAGCCCCAGAATTCGCAAATATGGTGATCAAAACATGTTCTTTGATATTAAACGGCCCAGGATTCATCGTAAACTCAAAGGGCGTGCCTTGAAGGAAGAGCCTTGTGGGAAGAGATTTGGCCATCAGATGGCCAAGTGGGACCACCGCGATCTGGGCCGAGATGGAGGAGATTATCAGCGGCTGGGTTCTGTACCAAAAGAACTGGTTCACGAACGAGAGAAGAACGCAGGAGGCCAAACCCAGGACCCACATTCTGAACGTCAACACCGGCATTGTGGGGTCGTCGGTTTTTGGCACCGTTAGATCCACCTGCTTCACCACGCGTTCGTCGGATGATTCTTCGTGATTATCATCGGTGGTGGTGATGATCTCCGGCGCCGTCCGCTCGCCGTCGAACACCGCCATTGGTACTTCGGCTTGCTCGGCCATACTTGCGTATGCGGGTGTGTGTAACGAGGAGAGAGAGGAGATGGAGTGAAAAAAAGAGCAGGAGAGGCGGTTTATATATAATGCGGAGAGTGTGTACGTAAATTAAAAATACTATAGGGGTTGTACAAAAACAAAAAAAAAAGATTCCGAGGAATCCTAGCTGAAGAAAAATCCCAACTGTAGCCAGTGGGGTAGGACTGTTGTTTGCCAGCTAAGCCATTGACTTTAGATGTTTTTAAAATTTTTATTTTATTTTATTTTGGGATCCCTTTTATTTTTTCATTAATACCATAAATTTGTTTTTGATAAAAACTAAAACGGAGTTTCTCTTGTACTACGTTTTATCTATAGTTTTAGTTTTTGATTATTAAATTTACTTAAAATTATATTAAATTAAAAAAGTATTCATAACTTATAAATTTTAATAGAGATTTGATGATTGAAAAATAAAAAATTATCGGTAATTTATTTTTACAGAAATTATTAAAAAAAGTCTCAAATTAAAATACCAAAAAAAAAACTACTAGATATTAACATGTGATCGAGATATATATATATATATATATATATAGGATAGCTAATACAAATTTAATTTTTAATTTAAAAAAATTATAAAACCTGAGATGTTATTCAATTAGTCAATTTCGACGGTTGGATATTTATGAGATGTTATGTTATGTTTTTGTGCTCTAATTAATTTGATTAATATTATTGTAATATGATGTTGAGATATGCGTAACACTATGATATATCCTCAAAAGGATGTATCCTCTACCACAAAAAATTTCTTTTAATTGTATAGGGTTTGTGCCTTCGTGGAAATTTTAAAAGTCATTTAAGTAGGTATTGATGAGCAAAAAGTAAGGGTGGGTATTAAAGGCTACTTGCCAGTTTATCGCAAAAAAAAAAAAAAAAAAAAAAAAAAAAAAAAAAAAAAAAAGGGGGGATTAAAAAGGTTTTTCTTGAAATTTTTAAAAAAAAAAAAAAAAAAAAAAAAAAAAAAAGTAGTGGGTATTAAACGTGTTACTTGCAAGTTTATCACAAAAAGAAAAAAAAATAATAAAAAAAAACAACAAAAAAGAAAAAGTAAAATGACAGTTTGGCTTTTCCTTTTCAACCCTAAATTTATTTTCTCGACCTTTTGGGTAGCATTTGATATGTCCTAGTTCTACCACCATTTGAAGTTGAAAATTAGGCTTTATTTACTTTACGGATTCGAGTTGAGATGTGACATTTTCTGATAGCTTTTTACTGTAGTAAAAAAAGTTAAATATGACATTTTCTGAGAGCTTTTAACTGTAAAAACTTAAAACTGAAAATTTAAATCGGTGAAATGAACGAGACAATTATTGAATTGTTTTGCTTTTTATTGTTGGTAAAGATAACGTTCACAATAAACGTGTTTAAATAATCAGATACCAATCTCGTGATAAATGTTGGTGAACAAAATAATAAATACCCCTTTTGAGAAGAGATAAAAAAAATAGAGAGAGAGAAAAATCCCGATTACTGAATTTTCCATGCAATGTTTTTGATACAAAAGTTTCCAATCTTAGCTAAACAAATAAATGGAGCATTCAAAAAGTGCTCAAACCACAATTTTCTTTTTCAATTTTTTTATTTTTGATAGCATAAAGAACGGTCGGTCAAGATAAAGTTTAGGGATCATAATGTTCATTGATCCAAATTTGTATCTTTTTTCATATGTTTTTTTAACTAACATATTTTTGGATCCATAGGAAGGTAAGAAGTGATCCAACGTAGCCCACAATTGCGGCTCCTGCCAAAACAAGTAGTTAGTGGCACCGTTTTCTCTGAAATAAATTGCAATTTGCATGCGTCCGCTTTCAAATCTTCTCAGTTTGATTTACTCAAAAAGGAAAAAAGAAAGAGAAAAAGTCTTCTCAGTTTGATGAGTCATCGACTGATTGTGAAGCAAAAATAATAAGCTTTTTTTTTTTTTTTCTTTTTTCTGCCAAGTGGTCAAGTTTGATTTTAAATTTTTAAGGGGTTGTTCTTTTACATTTTTAAGTTAAGGTAATTTGAGTAATGATGAAATTGTAACTTGAGTTTGTGTTTAAATGTGCACATTTGAGTTAAGATTTAAATTGAGAATCTTTTTAAGTTTGTGTTTGGATGAATCAAAACTTAAATTTGTATTTAGATAGTATTTTAATAAAAACTCAATGGTGATGAAAAATTTTAATATGGTATATGAGTGAAATTTTATTCATCTTTTCATTGTGAATACATAGAAAAAAAAATCACTCAATAAGAATTAAAACAAAAAAGTTATGACATTTTTAAGAATAGAAAAAATAATATTCATTAACTTGAGTTCGAATTTATGAACTCGAGTTGAAGGAGAAACTTGAACTCGAGTTTAGCCCCAAACTCGAGTTCAAATTCAAATTTTACAAAAGAACATGAACTTGAATAAAATTGTAACTTCAGTTTAAATTTTTTCTGAATTTCGTTGTAAAAGAACAACCTCCACGTCTCTCGTCCATTTTGGTCTTTTCCTCTTGCACATGTATATAAAGAATTTCGTAACCATATACCCATGTAAAATGTATTTTTTATGCCAAATAAATAGCATATATAACAGAACCTCTAGGTTCAATTTATTTATCGTTTCTTTCAGAAAGATACGATGACTCGGTTTTTCTGTTCTTTTTTTTTTTTTTTTTCAATTTGATTATTAATGCATGCATGAGATAAAAAAATTATCTGTTATTCAAAAATTGAATCCTTTTGCCTTCTATCCACTAATCGTAAAATGACTTATTCATCCTTTCTCTTTCTAAGAGATATCACGGGATCTTTCTTTTCTTTTCTTTTCTTTTTTTTTTTTTGAGGAATCTTTTTTTTTTTCTAATTTTGGTTAATAAAGGTACAATAATAAGCCAAAATAAATCTGTTTGAAAATTAGATCCTTCTTGCCCCATTCGCCAATCTAAAATTGTATTCCATCTTATGACGTCGCGACTTAAACGACAAGTATCTTAAATTATATTTATTTATAGAATTAAAATAAATAAATATAATATAACAACGTCTCATTCATTTTTTTTTTGTTTTTTTCCTTTTCCGGTTGATCTATCAGCCAATTATTTGCTTATAGACACGTAAAAATAGAAGCTAAAGGCAAAGTCCCTTTGATCAAAACTGCCAAAGGTATCAAAAAGACAAAAACCATCCTTTTCATAAGGACCGCCGTAAAGTTAATTCGTTGAAAATAAAAGGGCACAAAAGAAAACACCAGAAAATGCTAGTACTGGCGACGTATTTTGTCAAAAACGTGCAGAGACTTGGGCAAGATTTGAGCGTGGGGAGTTTGTGAGCTATTAATCAAAACTGATTTGGCTGTTAACGAAACCTACGTTCTCTCGAACCGAATGATCTTCAGTAACATTTCTTACACTTTCACTTTCCTCTTTCTAGCATTGCATTTTGCTTATAGCATACTTGGGCCTCATTCCTTTTGTTAATTCGAATCATAATTTAAATTTTTGCGAATTCACTTTTTAACTCAATCGAGCAAAACAAATGAATCCTTGGAATGTCTAATTACCGAACATTCTTTGTTTTACGCCGGTTGATCAATAGAAATGTTGTGCCAGCTTAAAGAGTGACTAAACACATATGCGAGATGGATCAATTGAGAATTACCGGAAGCTGAATATCAAGGAATAGACAAGATTGAGCGTGACCTCGACCTCACTGGGGCGTCCTTAATCATCCAATTATCGGCCGCTTAACGCGATCCATTACGTGCTAAACCCTTGGTTGCCACATGAACATTGGCTAGCTTGCGACGTGTATATAGTGGGTTGGATGGGGTGGTTGTGGGCTCCTCTTTAGACTCTCACTAAGGAAGAGATCCAAGGTTTAAACCCCAAGCCCCCCAATCTCAAAGGGTGCTTAACAATAAAAAAGGAAAAAAAAATACACAAACCAAACATAGAGTACCAACTTGTTTATGAGCAATTAAAACTAGCTAATAGGGTATTTGCCACTCAAAATCTCCCTGCGCGAGTGGGTTACCTTGTCCTGACTATTGAGAGGCGAGTGGTTTCACTTCACAATCACATATCAATGAAGTCGCACATTCACACAACCACATTGTAATGTTCCCTTGACCACAAGACAGGAAAAATAAATTCAGCCAAATCTTACACATCTTCTAATGGTCCTGGTTCATGCACATTATTGCGCTCTAACTAGTCAAAACTGAAACCCATTGACCGTTTGTTAGACCAGACAGCTTTCATCACGTGCCTTACCTTTAACCTTTTAGGGCCCTTATAGACTTAATCATGCTATAACGCTAAAATTCTCACTCTGGCAAATTATTGAGATTCTACTACGTCTTATCAAAAGGGGGTCATAATCTCTTTAATTTCTTTGTAGTCTTCCCGAAGTTCAAAAGGCCCCGCCGAAAATTGAGAATCTTATCACTGCGAGTGTACCTTATCTCACTTTTTCCCTAGAACTTTCAAATGTGTACGACCAGCATCCAATTAATAGCCTTGATGAAAACTTATTAGCAACATATTCTACAAAGGCGTTGAAATATACGGATTCGTGACATGGTTCATAACTCGTTATAGTGTTTTCACTTATAAAAAACACATATAAATCGAGAATAGTTCTGAATCCGTGAACCAAACGTCTATAAAGTACGTGACTATGAAACATGCCACATGTATGACAACAACGAGATTATGCTCCACAATATAACTTTGTTTTAATCAGTATGTCATAATGACTACCATGCAATTATACCGCTAGAATGTTGCGCAGTGTCTTGAGCAACGGGGGGGGGGGGGGGGGGGGGAAAAAAAAAAAAAAAAAAAAAAAAAAAAAAAAAAAAAAAGAAGAAAGAAGAAAAAGGAAAACCGATTAGCCTAGAGAGACACCAAATTTTGGATGAAATTAAAATCTACCTGGAAGCTGCAACATCCCTTTTGACTAGTGAGAATTCCAAGCCAACAATATGGCAAGATGACAATTACCGAATCCGATTTGCATACCATTAGAACATAAAATAGAGTGGATTATCTTTTTATCCTACGCAACTATCAGTCCACTATTGTTATTGCTGTTAATTTTCATAAACGAAAGATTACGTAACTAGATTCTAATACACACTGCAAACATTTCAAAAACTAAACAATCTTTCAGTACCAACTACGTTATTTAACTTATCACGCAGTACCAACTATGCTGCCACATCGCTTTGATTCTCAACTTGAACACTACTTCCGATTGAAACGTAAAGTAAAAAGTCAGAGTTTTGACCATGTTAAAATAACACAACACATGAATTCGTAAGACACTTGCTATTAAAATAAAATACGCAGTATGAAATTAACAGCAATTATTGACCGCAGGAGTCTAACCCAAAAAAAAAAAAAAAAAAGCACACTCCAAATATCTCGAAATGCCCCGAAGAGGTATAAGTTATAGAAAACACATTAATCAACACGGCCCTAACTACGCGCCTGTAATCGTGAGGCTGCAACTGTTGTTTTGCCTCTCATTATCACAACCTCCCCATACCGCGCAAATCCTACATAGAAGAGTCGTTTCATGATTTAGCGTGTCGTTGACAGACAAAAGTTTGTTTCGACATCACGTAAGGCCAAAAATAATTATGAAGGGTCGAGACGGTCAAAAAATTTCGTTAAATCACCTGCAAAAACCGCATAATTTCAACGCTTGCCACGAGGTCCGCCACCTGACCTCGCACCAGGATAGCGAGCAAATTGCAACCTTAAATTAACCGAGTCACGGTCATGCTCATCAAATTTATAACCTGCAAAATCGAGCTCCACCAATTTACGCTGTAACAACTAGCCACGCTTTGAACGGTGAATCAGGCAGAGCACTCAGATCATCAAGACTTGAATCATTTACCTCAATCAACATATAAACGTGAAATAGTCTAGCCTAATTTTTCATATCTATGAGACACCTAAAACAACAAATGTTGATGTGAAAGCCACCACTCATATCCCCATCTCCCAAAAAGGCACATCCAGAAAGAGGCGAAACAGGTCTCCTAACTCCCACCTTCTCCAATGTAAAGCTTACTGGTATTTATCCTAACATAATGCATACAGTGCAATAGAGGGGGCCTTCTTATTGATATAAATACACGTAGAAGTGGAAAGATTTAGGCTGTACAGGAGATGACGATTGAAATGTTTTTACCCACATATCACTGTTTTTCCTAGGGATGACTAGACATGGTCACAGTCTTGCTGATTGAACTAAGCTAGCGTCAAATTCACCAAGTCCCCATGAAATCGGCCAGAGTTTAGTTTTCCTCAACGTCTAAACTAACGCAGAAAGGTGAGTCATTTTCAAATTGTTGGCTTATGGAATTTCCAGAGACTTCTTTATGCAAAGAACTTGCATCGAGCCATGCAATGTAAAGAAAAATGTTATCAACATTGAAACAACTGAATGGTATCACAGAATCATCTTATGCAACTACAATCGACAGAAATACACGAGGCTATCTGCAATTTTGTTCACCACAGTAAATACTGGATAAAGGTAGTTACAAAATCATGTTATGTGATTTGGACTTGAGAGTTTGAGACCTTCCAAAGTGAGCTTCACACTTTCATCCGGAAAATAAAATCCAATATTCATAAGCTTTTCAAAGGTTAGCACAATCTCCAAAAATGTGAAGACCCTTTGGAAGGCTAAAGGAGTTTAGAATCATAAAAAATTGTGCATGTATTTTCCGTCCTAAAATATGTACAATATTGTCCATATAGTAGACTTACCTCCTATACATTATAATAGCATTGCTAAATTCGGCAAACTTACTACTCCACTGTTTTCAACTTAACTCGGATGTCATTATTTCTTTTTCCATTTTTTTTACCAGCAAAGGACAAGATACACGAAGACAGGCGAAGAATTATGCAGTGTGTACATTAAACCACTTACGGCAATATTTTAGTAAGTTAATGGCGCCTCATCTAGTAATCATGTGAAGTTTACATTAGAATGCATTCAACCTATTTTCTTAGTTTTCATAGGCATAATTTCTTCATTAATAATTCTAACTTACCCAGTCAACAGCCTAACAGAAATATCTAAATCAATAGGTGTTTCCATTATGCCTATTGTTTCCTTTATTACTGCAATGCCAAGTACTACATACTGCATAAAGCAGATTATTGCTAATAACTTGCACAAACTGACAATACAAAGATCCAAAAGACCTTCACAGGAATCTATAAGCTCACCTTGTAGGGCATCCATAGCAGTTGCTGCATGGGCTGGACTCAGAAAATCAACAAAACAAAGGACAAGAGGATCTCCTCCGGGCTGCATAGTTCAATTATTATGAATCTTTCAGCAACAAAGTATCATTAACAAAATGCTAAATAAACAAACAGTAATAATCATGGTTAAAAAAAACAAAAACAAAACTGAATATTGAATCTGCACCAAAAGGAAGGTAGACTTACATGTCTTGATTCCTTGCTTACAAGTCTCACTTCTTTGTAGCCAACAAAAGGACGAAAGATATCTGTGTAAACTAGTGAAGGAACAAACTGGAAGAAAAATGCACAAGGGGAAGAAAAGAGCACAAAACTAATGCCAAATAAAATAATAGAACCCAATAAAAAGATACGAGCTACTTCACGTCGTGTACAGTTGGCAGGCAAGCCCTCTACAAATAGTGTACTACTAGCATCAGGGGGAAGGGGAACCTCAGGCCTTCCACCAGAAAATCCAAGCGGCCTATCTTTTACAGTTGTCCCAGGGTCAATTCCCCCAATGCCCACAAGACGGGGATCATCAACAGTACGACCAGGCATTCCCCCACCCAAGGGTCTACCAGGCTGTCCGCTACCATAAGATGAAACTTGCTGCAACATCGTATTTATTAGTGACATTAACAACTTATGCATACACATACAGAGAGAGAGAGAGAGAGAGAGAGAGAGAGAGAGAGAGAGAGAGACGAGTATCCAAGAACAAAAACAACAATAATAAGGTACCGTGCTGCGCAAATAACGGTCATATGATGCATTAATGGACTCGGTATCTCTAGCTCCACGCATTGCTCCTCTATCATCATCACGGGGAAAATAGCTGGGGAGGTCGTGGCTTCCAGGGCCATCTACAAAATTAAGGGAATACAGATTGACCAAAAAGAGGAGAAAGGAAACACAATGATAATGATAGTAACAACGTCATGGCGCAGGAAACAAGGAAACAAACAATGTTCCACCAGAAAAAAAAAAAAATTTAAAAAAATGAGAGGAGGAGAAAATAATCGGTGTCAAACTGAAACTTACTAATACTACTAAGAAAAGACTCATAAGTAACATATTGAAACTTACATTTCTAACAGTTGTAAACTATGAAAACCTATAATTAGGTTACTGATACTGATAGCAATACATGTTCGATCCAAAGATGCTCAGCAAAATGAATATTTTATAGTACACGGATTGAAAATTATCACAAATTACTCAAGCGCATAGGGATACTTGTTACAACCTTATAGACTGCATTAATTGTAATTCACCAAAAAAAAAAAAAAGCATCAAATCTCCAAGTTTAAGTTTTGCAAACATATGAAAAGCATTAATTCGGTAAGACAGGGACAAATTACTACGCAGAAAATACTGGAAACCCAAGATTATTAGCTGCAATAATATAAAATCCCACCTTTACAGTTTAAGCTTATTTAACAAAATAACCATTCGCTACTTATGTTTGCAAACGTAATCTCAGATCCCCATTTCTTCAATTCTATCTACAAACCCTAATCGACCACTTTCCTTTCTCGAGCCCAATTCGCTCTCTTAATAAGCTTATTAAACAAATGAAAAACCAAAAATCGTCAAGTCCTCAGCTTTTCATCTCTTCCATCTCTTGGGAACCAAATAAAACACGACCTTTGAGACAGAAAAGCAAATCCCTAATTTAACAAAAATGAATCGGAGAAATTCGTGTACCGTAGTCGGAGCGAGAGCGCTTCCCGACGATGGGAGGGATGGCGGAGGAAGGCGGCTGCCGTGAGTCGCCGTACCTCCAGTACGAGTCCGCCATGCGAGTGGAGTTGTGAGGAGAGAGGAGAGAGAAAGCGAGATCTCTCGAAATTGATGAAAAATAGATTACGATTAGATTTGCAGTTTACACAGAAAAGAGAGAAAAAAAGGTTTCCGCGAATACACCGTGGAAGAATAAACAAAGCCCAGTAGAATCAGACAACCAAAAGAGTTTATCAAGTGATTGTTATGTTTAGTTTAGAATTAGTTCTAAAATAATTTTATTTTTTATATGAAGTTAAAAATAATTTAATCTCAGATAAAAATTATTTTTTAAAATATGTTTAGTGATTTTATTAAGAGATTATGTTTAGTTTAAAAAAAATTAAAATTCTGTTTAGTTATATAATTTTTACTCATCTATCTAAAAAAAGACATCTGTTCAAAAAAATTGAAATAAAAAATGAAAAACAATTTCAAATCGTTTTTATTTTCTAAGTGATTTTATACTAAACTAAAAAATAAATTTATTTTCGGTTTTTTTACATTTTTTTCTCCCAATCTCATTTTTTGTGTCTTGAAATATGTAAAAAATAAAAACAAAATTAGTTCCAAACACACTGTATATGTTTCTAACACTTGTTTCATTAGTATTTAGTAATGTCTCTGGTTTTCTTCTGTTTTTTTTTTTTTCATTTTATAAATAAGAGAGTTTATCTAGAATAAGAAAAAAAGTGAATTTTTTTTTTACTTTTTTAACCGTTAGATTTATACAAAAATTATTTATTTTTTATATTTTTTAATATAATATAATTTTAATTAGATTTTATAATCAAAAAATGATCTTATTAATGAAGAGGCCTATTAAAGGAAACTCTTAAATATACTTTTGATTTTTTAACATTATACCTCTTTAGTCTTTCTTTTGATCAAAAGTTTATTATGGTGGGAGTAGGTAATTTGCCGATTTGAGTTTTTATTTATTTATTTATTTTGTGTGCATTTGTGGCTCTTTGCCTAGTTTTTTTTTCTTCTTTTTTTTTTAATTAATAAGCATCCATTCTTTTGTGTATGTGATACTTTGGTTAATAAACCCTTTCATGGAAGACGAAAAGTTGGGAATAGAGGTGTAAAAGCGGGTGGGCCTAGCTGCACCCCCAAAAAGTTTAGGGTTGGCGCGGTCCCAAAATTTATATGATTTTAAAAAAAAAAATTAAAATATAATGTTTAGACTGGGTTGGGCCGGCTCTAAAAGAGAGAGAATCGGCTTTGCCCAGTCCAACCCGGCCCTAAAACCTAAAACAATTTAGAGATATTTATGCTTATTGCCATGAAAAATTTAGAGATATCGTGCGGAGGCCTCGGCCTTCGTGCACTGTCTCATACAGATTAATGAGAACTAGTGCCGTGTGACATCGTCATTGGTCATCTCTTGGCGCACCGGATGTTTAAAGGGAGGAGTTGAAGCGACAAAGATCTACTTACCAAATTGTGATAAACAAGATCGAAAACGGAAAAGTTCTGACAACAAATACTTGCGACGACAAACGGCGATCCTTGTAAAAAGATCGTCAATGGTGACAGCTGTAGTGCCGCCGATTATGGTGGTTACCAGCCAAAATACTGTCAATTACTGGCCAAGATAGCATCAGTTACTGACCAATCGCGACCCTTCGAGATCTAAGCCATTGTTTCTCCCAGACGAATTTCAAATCTCCACAGTTTATTATTTTTTTCTTTCAGAGTTTGCAATTTGTTGATTTTTTTGTTTTTTTTTTGCAAATTTTGTGATTTTTATTTTTCATTTTGTGGATTAGTGGATTAGTTTTGTGATTCCTTGTGCATTTTTGTGATTTTGGCGCCGTCGTTAGCGGCGAGTTTTGGTAAAACCAATGGTATAATGGTTCGTATTTAGCAGCGATACCGGCGCAAATAATGGTTGTTATCGTTAGATACCGATCGGTAACCATCCAGTATCTGGGTGGATACTATCTAGTATCTAGGTGGATACAAACAATCATGAAAGATACTGAATTTTTAGGTATTCTGGTGACTATTGCCACCAAAACTGGTAGTTGTTCGCCAGATACCATCGAGTATCTCAACTAGATACTAGTTTTGTGGCCAGATAATGGCGGGTATCTCTGTTTGATACTAGTATTATCTCCTGGTATTCTATGGGTATATTAGGCATTTTAAATATAATATGATAACTTGTGGTATTTTTTGTAATAATATATGTCTCTTGATATATATTAATCCAATTCAAAAATTTGTGGCAGTTCTCTTTAAAGTCCAAACATTTAGGACCGAATTGGGCCTCGGGCTTGCCCGTTTAACTCGTGTCGAACTTATAGTTCTTGTTAGGAGGTAGGATTGCAATTTGCAAGCTACTACGAGATTGGATGTATTAATCTATTTTTTACTTTATGATGTTTGTTAATTGCCAAATTAACCTTAGTGATAAGACTTTTGGTTTATGATTACTGGAAAAGCACACAATTAGATCACTATACTAAGGTTAATTTGAAAATTTTAAAGGTTAAAATCGGTGTTGACTATAAAATGGTACAAATTTGCTATACATTTGCAACACTCTAAAATTAACGGTATATTTTTTTAATAAATCTAAAACAAAATGTACAAAAACATAAATAACCCTTTCTGTTTTCTATTTGGAGTTCTAATCTTTATTGTCGTTTGTGCGTGTCATTTTTAGTTCTCCTGGCTTTCACGTTTGTTGTCGTTTTTAGTGTATCTTTCGTTTTAATTTTACTGTCGTTTTTAGTATCCCTGGCGATTAAAATTCTGTTGTCGTTTCCCTAAGAAAAAAAATCTGTTATCGTTTTCAGTGTTCCTGCCTTTTTTCTTTTATTGTTCTTCTAATTTGGTTGTCGTTTAAGTTTTCATGTCTTCAAAGTTCTTGCTATTTTTCACTTTCTCATAGTTTTAAGCCCCGTTCATTTCATCGATTTGAGATTGTTACACTAAAAAATTCTTAAAAACAGTCACATCTAACTTTTGTGCTATAATAAAAAGCTCTCACATAAATTCACATCTTAACTCGAATCAGCGAACTAAACGGACCCTTAATATTAATGTCGTTTGTACTTGCATTGTATTTGTTAGTATTCATGTCGGCCTTAGTGTTCATTGTTCTTTATCTGTAGCTTTTCATTTTGTTGTCGTTCATTGTGTTCCTATTTTTTAACTTCCTCCTGGTTTTCATTTCGACGGCGTTGTCCTTTTTATTTTGTTGTTTTTATTGTTGAGGTCGTTTTCTAATACGCTGATACAACTATTAGCATCACAACCCCACTTGAACAGATGATTTGAACTATCCCTTCACCTCCTAACTTTGTCTTTTTCAGCCCCACCTATTTTCTAAGCTTAGCTTTTTTTTTTCCCCAATTCATTTATAGTCAACATCATCCACTGCTGGCTCCGGGATAACTACATTATCTTCCACCGTAAACATTCTTGAAAATCCTCTCATCTGCAAGTTTGCTTTATAAAGGATCTTCCACTTTCTCCTCATATTGCAAATCTAAATTGGTATTCGATGGCGGATTTCAGAGGCCAGCCCCTCTACAACTGCAGAAATTGCAAAAATCCTATTGCCCTGCGCGACGACCTTGTTTCCAAGAAGTTTTGGGTACAAAGACTTACTCTACTTTGTTGTTGATTTTTATTCTGAATCTGAAATTGTTATGCAAAAATTTGTAGATTGAGTTGTTTTTTAAACAAAAGGGTTTTTTTTTTTCTCACTATCTCGACACATGGATTAAGAAAAAAACAGGTTCGAGGACCTCAGTAGTATCTAACACCACGACTAATAAAATATAAGCTTCTATTAGTGTATGATAGCATCTTATATGGATTAAGCAGATTGATTGAGTTATTGGTCATTCATGAACCAAATAGTCAAATCATTCATGAACCACATAGTCAATCTTTTCTATAGATATCCATTTTATGGACAAGATATATATTTACGACACATATATTTCAAATCATGTGCTAAAAAAATCCCATTTCAGAGAAAATGATTTCTCATCCATTTGGCTCAAAATTTTGATGTTTTAGGCGAAATCTGGACCTGCATATCTGTTCTCTCATGCAATGAACGTCGTTGTGGGGCAGAAAAAGGACAAAGAGTTGATCACTGGCGTTTTTTCTATTGCTGACATCTATTGCAGCAACTGCGGCGAGGTACTAGGTTGGAAGTATGTGAGAGCTTATGATGCTACTCAAACGTATAAAGAAGGGAAATTCATAATCGAGATAGCTAAGGTTGCAAAGTTGTACTAGAAAACAGTGATATTCTCCCATGGGATTGTATTACTAAAGTAAATAATGTCATTGTATGAATTGATCAATGGATGGTATTTAAGTTTCTGTGCCTATATATGTATGGACAGTGCAGTAATGTGTTTTATGTTTCGAGACGTTTGGTAGATAGATTAAAATTATAAGATTAAAATTATTTTTAATTTACGTGTATTTTTTGTGAGAAAAAACACTATAAAATAATGAATTATGATTCGAATCGAGGTACGAATCTCCTAACTAACTTACGTCTGGTGTAACAGTTTTCATATAAATTTGTAATTTTTTAACGTAATATGATAAAATTGAAATAAGTTAGTGTTAATTGTATTGAGCGGTATATTTACAAAATGAGTGTTACATCAAAAGCCAACAAAATTATTATATTTGCAGAATTGGTACGGTCCCCGGACTGAAGAAATTTTTGCATTAATGATATTGAAGATTTTGATTGAGTGTTCGTTTGGTTGGAGGATTCAAACTATGTGATTCGAATTATTTTTGATTTACGTGTATTTTTTATGAGAGAAAATACTGTAGCGAACCACGAATCATGATTCAAATCAGGAAACGAATCCATCTACCAAACGCCCCATAGGTTTTTGTTTTGCTTACAGAGAAAAAGGACTCAGGAATAAAACTCTTTGACGCAAACTTTCCAAAGAGGATGATGCATTATTTTACTTGGTGGAAAATGGAAGGACTTATTCGGTTTTTTTTTTTAGTCATGGTAATTTGAGTGTAGATTTTGAGTTATAATTTGAGTTAAAATTGTAACTTAAGTTTGTGTTTAGATGTACGCATTTGAGTTATGATTTAAATTGAAAATCTATTTGAGTTTTTATTTCAGTTGATCAAAACTTGAATTTATATTCAGATAATATTTTAATAAAAACTCAATGGTGATAAACAAATTTTAATAGAGTATATAGGTGGGGTTTTATTCGTCTCTTTGTTGGGAATGCATAAAAAAATTTATTTCAATCAGAATTAAAATGAAAAAGTTATAACGTTTTTAATAATAGAAAAAATATTATTCATTAATTTAAGTTTGAGTTTAAGAACTTGAGTTGAAGGAGAAATTTGAACTCAAATTTTAACCTCAAACTTAAGTTAAAACTCGAGTTCAAACTTAAATTTTACAAACGAACGTAAACTTAAATAAAGTTATAACTTGAGCTTAAATTTTTAAAAAATTTTACTCTAAAAAAACAAGCCCTCAAATCTTATCTGAAGATTCAAAATTTGACCAGTTTGGTGGTGTGCTTATCCACCTTTAGAAAAGCAAGTTCGGTACTTTGAAAATAAGCAGTTTCTTTGGCTTGGATTGATTGAAGAAAATGCCCTTGAGTAAGGGACACGCTTGAAGTTGGGGGGAGTGGGTGGGCGAGGGGGCATCCATAGTATTTGAATCAGCTAGTTGTTTCGTTCATTCCGATTCCTTGGCATATGCTTTGACACTCGAGTTAGACTTATTCAAATGTGATTTATGAAGTGAACGACCTTTTATTATCTCGAATTAGCATCCTGGGTTTGTTTTTTTGAAGTTTAATTTGAGTATAATTTTTGAGTTAAATTTGAGTTATAACTTAAGGTGAACTTGTAACTTGAGTTTGTGTTTGGTTGTGTACATTTGAGTTATGATTTGAGATAATAATCATTTTGAGTGAGTCAAAACTTAAATTTGTATTTAGATAGTATTTTAATAAAAACTCAATGCTGATGAAAAATTTTAATAGGGTACATGGGTCGGGTTTTATTCGTCATTTCGTTGTCAACACATAGAAAAAAAAATCATCTCAATAAGAATTAAAACGAAAAAGTTATAGCATTTTTAAGAATAGAAAAAATACTGTTCATTAATTTGAGTTGGAGTTTCTGAACTCGAGTTGAAGGGGAAACTTGAACTCGAGTTTTAAGTCATAAACTCGAGTTTGAACTCGAGTTTAAATATAAAAGAACATTAACTTGAATAAAGTTGTAACTCGAGTTGCATTTTTTTGAGTTTTTCACTCAAAAGAACAAACCCTTATTGATTATCTTTTTAATATTATTTTCACGAGTGCTTAAAGTAATTTTCTAGGTCTCTTAGTCCGGTTCATTTCACGAGGTCTTATTTCACCGATTCGAACTAAACGGGTCATTTATTTCACCGATTCGAGTTTTCAATTTAAATTTTTACAATTAAAAATTTTTAAATTTTTTTTCTACTGCAGTTAAAAACTTTTAAAAAATATCACATATCAACTCGAATTTAAAACTTGAATCTGCGAAACGAACGAGGTCTTAATAGTTATCATGTGATCAAATTCGTAAACTTTGATGAATTATCCGAACTAGTATTCATCATATGATCAAATTCTCCAACTTTGATGAATTATCTGAATTAGTATTCATTTGATGGAGTCCTTGTTACCATAGTTAAACGTGCTTTTACCATAATTATCCCGTGTTTTCTAGTTTGGGGTGGTCCAATCTTTTCTGCTTAGAAGATTTCGGCATGAAATAACTTTGTTGAAAGGGGAAAAAAAAAAAAATCTATGTTAGGTAACGAACAAAATACGCTATATGTGGATTTTTTTTAGATCGCCGTAATCATGTTTTTTTATTTATTTTTAAATATTTCTTTTGTTTTGATGTTAAATACCTTAATGTATAAAGATTAAAAAAAAGAATAAAAAAGTACATACCTCATAATTCTAAAAGAAAAATTTATTATTGCGTTAAAAAAATATTTCTTACTGAAAAGTAGTCTTTATACACTAGAAAAAGGAATTTATTCTCTTTAATACAATAATAATACATAGGTAAATATGTAACATCAAAGCCTAGTTATTTTTCACCACAAATCTAAAAAACAAAAGAAATTTCCATGTAATTGTGTATAAATTTCATGGCAGTTTAATATAATAACAAATAAAGGTGCTGATTTGCATCACGCACATTGTGCGCGCGTGAGTCTATATGATGAGCTGAAAGTCATCCCCAATTAAAATATTGCAGAAAAATCCTCCCTCAAACCAAAATATTGCAGAAAAATCCTCTCTCTTCTTTCTCTCTCCTCAGTCGTCCAAGTAACCATGACGATGAATACCTACTCGGTTGTCACACTCACTGGTCAGGTAAGTTCTAGGACTCTAGGTCGAGTCTTTGGAAATTTTTGTTATTTTATACGCAGGAACCCAAAAGAAAAAAAAAAAAAAAATATATATATATATATATATATAATCTTGTTTTTAAATTAATATTGTGATTTCTCTATCAAATAAATTTTCAGAATATTTCGTTAAATTCTAGTCATTTAAGTACTAATCTTCTACTAAATATCTCTCACAGTCCAAGGAAAGAATAATAAAAAAGGAATTTCTTGAATTCCCAGTCTAATTGTTAAAAAATTAAATGATCTATTTTTGATTTTACAGCTCAGATCCCCATCCATTGCCCTTAAATAACAAAACTTTAATTAATCTGCTTTGCATTTCCATTTTTTTTTTTAAAATTTCATGCTTTTTTTAATCCGAAGAAGAAATCTTTTTTCCTTTTACTTTAATTAATCTGCTTTGCATTTCCATTTTTTTTTAAAAAAATTCATGCTTTTTTTTAATCCAAAGACGAAATCTTTTTTCCCTTTTTTGTGGGTTTTTATATATTTTTTTATTTATTACTTGTTCTTCTTGATTGATTGATTACTAGTATTATTTGGCTTTTGGTGTTCTTCTCGTTCACTCTTCCATGCCAATCACGTCTCTATCACACCAGTAGAAAAAGCCCATTTTTTTCTTAATTTTGGAATCTTTGCTCATAAATTTAATTCACTTTGGTCCAATCTTGCACGTTAACACCAATTTGTGCTCTTATCTCCTGCTCCCGGCACTTGGGTCATCATTGATCTTGTTGTAGGTAAAGAAATTGATGCTTTTTGTTGTTTTTTTTCATCTCTAATTATTCATGTTTTGGTTTCATCAGATTGTACTGTGACTTGGGTTTCCATTTCTTGACCTGTCTGATTTGATTTTTAATTAAGTTTCCTTTTTCCTCTTTCTGGTTAATTGGCAGTGAGGTGTTTTAAAGCTGAATTTTTGTTAATTAATGGCGGATTTGGTAGGGCCTAGATTATACAGCTGTTGTAATTGCCGGAACCATGTTTCTCTTCATGATGATATTGTCTCCAAAGCTTTTCAGGTAAGACGCACTTATGTTTTACCAAAATTGTAATAAATTTCTTTTTATACTACCAAGTTTGAGTGTGAAGAACTCATGTGATCATTGTTTTGAAAAGTTGAAACGCTTGAAAAACTGTGGTATGCTTCATTGTTTTGGGGATTTTTTAGAAGTTATTTTCAGAAAACTATCAATTTGTGAATATGGTTTCTCTTGCTTTGTGTCAAAATAAGAAGGAAACATAGGATTAAGACCAGAGCTGTTTTAGGCCTGATTTTGTAACTCCATTTTTGTTTTTTCATGTCTGTTATATAGAACTGCGTTCTGGTTATGCATTTTGGATTGAGACTGTGGTAATAGGTAATTGGCTAGAATCTCCGTAACATTCTTTTTCGAAAATTATGTTCCTTCTTAGGGGAGACATGGCCGAGCTTTTCTGTTCTCCCACGCGATGAACATCGTTGTGGGGCCGAAAGAAGACAGACATCTCATGACTGGTCTCCATACGGTTGCTGATATCTCTTGTGCTGATTGCCGTGAGGTGTTGGGGTGGAAGTATGAAAGGGCTTATGAGGCGTCACAGAAGTACAAAGAAGGGAAGTTCATATTTGAGAAGTCCAAAATTGTGAAGGAGAATTGGTAATCAATGTGGTCTCTCTTTATTTTCCTCTCAGTTCTGTTATGTTTTGATGCAAGTTTATCAGTGCTTTGTGCCATTCATCTTGTACAGAAACTTCTCAGCCATTTGAGAATTGTCATTGTTTTTTGCTGTTCATTCTCCTCCATGTTGGAATTGGAAAGTTGTAAATGGAATGATTGTGTTAATGATGTTTTGGAACTTCTCAAGCATGACATTTTCTTGACTGTTTCGGATAGATAAATTTAATAACCTTCTGTTAGAAGCGAATGGCGCCATGTATCAAGAAAAACTAATCACAGCGCAACTAAGTTGGTATCCAGTTAGTGAAAAGATAATTTAGAACTAGATAAGTTTTGGGTTTAGATTTTAAAGTTTTTAGTAATCTGTTTAGTTCTTCTTTCTATTGCCTACTGCATGGGAGTTTGATAGTTACTTTGGATAGGATAAGATTAAGAACCAGTTCCCATTTAATTTTAAGTTAATAAGTTTTGCTCAAATTCGAATATATTTGGATTTCGTAAGTATTCTGTCAAGGAACTTTAGACTTAACATCAGATTGAACTGACCCTTTTATGGAGAAATGGGAAGTTTGATTTTGTTTTTACATTCTTTGCAACAATTTAAGGTGGACAATCTAGAAGCTCTTCATAGAGAAATGTATGCTTGCATTCTGTGTGGTTGTTTTCGTTTATAACCAGAAACGAATAGCGTCTTGTATCATGGAAAACTTGTCACGCCCCAACTAAGTTAGCGCTTCGTACCCAATCGAGAGGAAAAAGATGATTTAGAACTAGATAAGTTTTGGGTTTAGATTTTAAAGTTTTTAGTAATCTGTTTAGTTCTTCTTTCTATTGCCTACTGCATGGGAGTTTGATAGTTACTTTGGATAGGATAAGATTAAGAACCAGTTCCCATTTAATTTTAAGTTAATAAGTTTTGCTCAAATTCGAATATATTTGGATTTCGTAAGTATTCTGTCAAGGAACTTTAGACTTAACATCAGATTGAACTGACCCTTTTATGGAGAAATGGGAAGTTTGATTTTGTTTTTACATTCTTTGCAACAATTTAAGGTGGACAATCTAGAAGCTCTTCATAGAGAAATGTATGCTTACATTCTGTGTTGTTGCTCTTTTATAACAAGAAACGAATAGCGTCTTGTATCATGGAAAACTTGTCACGCCCCAACTAAGTTAGCACTTCGCACCCAATCGAGAGAAAAAATATGATTTAGAACTAGATAAGTTTTGGGGGTTAGATTTTTAAAGTTTTTAGCAATATGTTTATTTCTCCATAGCCTACTGCGTGGGAGCTTGATAGTTGTTTTATGTGGAAAAATAACAAGTTTCCAATAATAGCAAGTTTTGCTCAAACTTACATATATTTACATTTTGGAGGTATGCGGTGAAGAACTCTATACTTTTTCAGCAGATTGAATTTGCTCTATTAGGTTTGAGATTGTTTTTGCTCTATCAAGAAGCTCTTCTAGAGAAATGTTCTATTTAAGAGGTGATTGTGAATATTGCTTTCAATTATTACCTATCTTATTTATTTTGTTAGCACGAAGAATAAGTATAATCTAATGAAGTTTGCCGTCCTTTTTGTACGTCGTCGTATACTGTCTACCGTGTATGTATTAGAACGACATGTCGATTTATGTGGACAAGATAAAAACGACATGTCGTGCTGTCGCTTGTATGAGACAACGAAACACTGTTTCTATATCACAATTTTCACGTCGTCTTGATCCCCAATATAGTTTGTCGTAGAAAAACGAGTGTTATTACTTTAAAAAAAAAAAAAAAGGAACGACACCCTTTATCGCCTTAGAAACATTGCCAACATTCAGAGAGGAAACGACAATAACATGCCAATTCGCCTTAGACAATGTTCTCGTTCAAGCATGAAAAAATTACGTACTTTTTACTTTTAAGTGCCATTTGTTGTTCGTCACAATGTTTTTAGAAACGTCATTGAGTTTCTCGTGTTAAAAAAAAACGTTGTTTAATCTTTCAAACGTCAGTGGTTTCATTTCAGTTACCAAAATGGTATACTTTAAGTATGTAAACGACGTGTCGTTTTTATGTTAACATATACAAAAACATATTATTCCTCTTAAATTTTGTATCATTTGTATGAAAACGACATGTAGTTTCTCGTAAAAGTTGACGTCCTTCACCCGGGGAAACTTCTTGTCGCCTTAACTGTGAATAACATAACAGATCGTCGTTCACAACAAGCAGCAGTCATAATTTGTCGACTGAAGTTGATGTCATTTTACAGAAAAACGACGTACTCTTTTGCCCCTTGAAATATTTTGTACCGTTCTTGAGGACGTCATTTTATGCCGTAAAGGTTAAAACCGATAGATTGTTGTCGTTTTTTAACGTCATTTTATGGACGTCAATTTAGAGATGTATTTGCTAAAATTAAGAGAACTATCAAATTATCAACCACTAAACAATATGGACGGATGCTTAAACTATGAAAGATAAAACAACAAATTATAAAAACGTTTTCAAGACCAAACATACACACACAAAAACAAAAAAAAAAACACAAAAAACAAAAAACAAAAAAAAAAAAGCAAAGAAAGGAAAAAAAAAATAGAGAGAGAAAACGACAACGACAATCATCCATTTGCCGCCGTTTCACCTCCCGACGACAGCTGATTTCTTAAAGTAGAGAGAGAGAAAAAGGAGAGGACTTGACATAGAGGAGAGGAGGGAGAGAATGTACCTGAAGAGGGCACTGTGGGGCGAGGGAATAATACCGGAGAATGCTTGGCCGGAGCCGGAGGCCGAGCCACCGTCGACGGAGGTGGGAGAGCTCGTCAATTCCTTGACCGAACAGAGAGTTTACCGGGAGGTCACTCTCGCTCTCCGCAGCGGTCTCAGGGACGCCCGCGCCGAGTTCTCCTTCCTCCGAGTCCGCGGTGTCAGAACTCTCCTCAAGTTCCTCCGATCCGTTGCCGAGTCCGATTCCACCATTAACTTATTCTCTCAGACTCAGTCCATTCCCGACCTTCAAGGTTTCTCTTTTATCGACAAGAAGAAGATGAAATTTTCAACTTTGTTTTCTTTAATTTCCATTGTCTTCAGGTCATGGAGTTTGTGATTCATCCGCGATTTCGTCTGTTGTGTTTTTCTGAAATTTTGCGCGAAAATTGACAGAAAACAAGTCTTGATTTTGGGATTAGGTTTTGTTTTGTATAAAAATTGCTGATCCAATGCAATTCTTTGCAATTCGACAGTTGTTCCAGTTCTCTTTCAACATTCACTGAAAGAGTCTGAAGACGACATTGTAGCGAACTTGAATCATATCTTCGGCGTGGAGCCCATGAAGATCTCTAGCCCTTCCACTGATGCTGAAGTCTCACTTGCGCTTCGAGTTTTGGAAGGTTGCTGTTTGCTCCACACAGAGAGTACGGTGTTAGCCCATCAGTACAAAGCAATTCAGGTCTTTGAAGCTCAGTTCTTACTATGATTGTTCATTTAGAATTAGTTTTGCATTTTTTTTTCCTGACCAAAGAGAAATCATTGTATTATGAAGGTCTTGATGAACATTTTATCAATTAGGGGAGTACTTGAACAAGGGGCATGCTTAGATGCGTTGATCTCCATTATGTTGGACTCATCAGCCAATCAAATGGTACATTGGATATTACTATTCATCTATTAGTTACTAGCAGATATGAGATATCCTTTAATTTACTCTTGATAGTCTATTTTGATAAGAAAACTTCCCTTTTATTGATAGTTGAATCAAATACAAAGAAAAGAGGATAAAGTATCTTCTAAACAAGCAGAAAAGAAAACTAAAGAGATGAAAAGCTTAAAAAAAAAAAAAGAACATGGGCATTTCGAGTTTTACTAAGCAGATGTAATATGCAAATGTTCTTTTTGTCATCTTTTGTCAGGATTTCGAAGCATGCAACGGTATTGAGGAAGTTGCAGAGCTTATCAGAGACAAACAAGTGGATGAGAATCTCAGGTTTTTTATTTTGTTTCTTTGCCATTTTCTTTCGAGCGGATATTTTATGTTTCTGCTTGCAACATGTTACGTACATCCAACATCATTGTGCAACAACAGTGTATTTGCATTTACAGAAGACACGAAGTAATAGATATTTGCATTTTTAAGAAGAGAAGAAACAATATGACGGGGGCAGTTTTTGAAGTAATGTTTGGTAGTTGATCGCAACATATTTTGTATCAATTCAAGAATTTAAACATAGTTGATCATTTACTCTCTCTGTGCACAATCATTCATTTTTTGAGGCTATGACACACTTCTTTCCAGTTTATTGTAATGATAATTGAGAAGCAACTTTCTCCTCCTATTCTTAGGTTGAAATGTGGAGAGTTCTTGCTGCTTCTCATAGGGCATGTAAATGGACGAGGAAGGCCTCCATTGGCATCCATACAAGAAGACATAAGGCGGCTTTTGGGGGAGAAGTCTGCCTCCTTGATATGGGCAGCTAGTCAGTTTGGCTCAACTCTTGATCCAGAGCAGAGACTAACCGCATTGCACATCCAAGCCCGTCGGGTGCTTGAGTCCTTGGACCTGTACTGAAATCCCTCATGGAAATATTACTACAAAACTGCCGATACCAAAAGGCTACCAATGAAGTCAACCATTAATGACTAGTTCACATACCTGGAGGGGTTCTGATCCCTTATTTGATCAGACCACTCTTAGAAAGATGAAACAAACGCAAATTCTCATAGTTGTAGCTGGGCTCCTACTATTTCTTCATAAATGAGGTGAGGTACTTCTTTCGGTTTGAATAGGGGTCGCTCCTTTTTTTTTTTTTTAAATTGAAGTGGCCGCGATAAAACTAATGGTTATTTTTCATTGCTTTCTAGATAATGCAATTTTGTTCATTTGTTTGTATTTTAGTTTCTAGAATGGCTGATAATTGTGGCAAGAGTCAAGTTGTAGAAACTGTGCGCATATCTTCGCACAAGAGTGTTATACAATAAGTATGTAATCAGAAACTAGTTGTAAACCCTGTTTTCATGTGCATAATCAAATTGTCTAAAGTAGCATAGATCTCATTTGATCTTTCATGACTTTTATCAGAAGCAAGAAACACATGAATATCATCTCTATCTTCAATCCAACTGCACCCCGGACTTTTGTGCATTCCTCTATCCTTCATTAACTGTCTCATTCTAGCTAGCTCATGCCATCTCCCTGTGTAAGCATACAAGTTAGCTAGCAGAACATAGTTCCCGGTATTATTCGGCTCCAACTCTATTAGCCTCTTTGCTGCAATTTCACCTAACTCAACATTACCATGAATAACACAGCCTCCAAGCAAAGCACCCCACAAAACAGAATCTGGTTCCATTGGCAGTTTCTGAGTAAATTCGTAAGCTTCTTTTAGCCGACATGCCCGGCTTAGGAGATCAACAATGCATGTGTAGTGTTTAAGTGTGGGGTTCACATCAAAATAACTCATAAAATCAAAGAATTCACTACCTGCCTCAACCGATCCAGCATGCACACATGAAGAAAGAACAGAAAGGAAAGTCACATGGTCTGGTCTATACCCATCTTCTAACATTTTGCGAAAAAAGGCAATTCCCTCCTCCCCGTGTCCATGCATTGCATAAGCAGTAAGCATGGCATTGTAGGACACTAAATTAGGGTCCGAAATCCTGTTATAAGCCAGAAATGCATGCTTCAAGCTTCCACATTTTGCATACATGTCCACAAGCGCTGCTCCAATGTATACATCTTTGTCATACCCACATCTAATTGAATGCGCATGAACCTGTTTACCTCGTTCAGTTGCTGCTAACCTTGAACAGGCTGGCAAAATAATGCCAACCGTGTATATATCTGGCCGCAAATTTGAACTCTGCATTTCGGAGAACAATTCCATGGCTAGATCAAGATGGTTGTTTTCCACATGACCAGCTATAATACCATTCCAAGTATATACATTCGGCTCAAAGCCATCTTCTCTCATCTTTTTAAGAAATATTGGAATTCTCTCTATTTGATTGCAGCGAGAATAGCCAGATACCAAACTGTTCCATGTAGCAATGTCCCTTTCACTTACTTCATCAAAAGCTCTCTGAGCAACCATTAGGTCTTGGCATCTACAATACATTTCCACCAGAGCTCCACCCACAAAGGTGTTTGATTGCAAATTCCTTACAATGGCATGGGAATGTATCTCCTTTCCTCGTCTCAAACATGCCATATTAGCACAAGCAGTAAGAGCACTTCCTAAAGTAAACGAATCGGGTTCAATCCCCTCCCTCAGTAACTCTTGAAACAAACACAGAGCTTCATCAAACAACCAGTTATCCACATAGCCGGAGATGATCGAGTTCCAGGAAATCACATCCTTCTCAATACCCATCAACTGCATATGATCAAACAATGCCTTGGCTTTGGATACATCGCCGTTGTCACAATACCCGACAATCATCGTATTACAAGACACCGCATTTTTCAAAGAGAAGTTTGAAAATATTGCTGAAGCACTCCTCATATCAGCACACCTTCTGTACATGTCAACCAATCCATTAACAAGAAAATGGTTCGACAAAAACCCGTGTCTGGTAATATGGCCATGGATTTCTTTGCCAAGGTTTAGCCTTTTTAGCCTAGCACAGGACGGAAGAACACTCGCCAAGGTTCGAGCATTTGGTCCAAACCCTGCCGCTTGCATTTTAAACAGCAGCTCTATAGCTTCCTCATCATAGCCATTCTGCGAGAAGCCTCCAACAACAGCGCTCCAAGAAACAAGATTAGGCGATGGCTTATCAGGCGATGGCTTATCGGAATTCATCCCATCCAAAAAGTCCAATGCCTCATACACCATTCCATTGGCAGCACAGGCCGTAACAATAGAATTCCATGAAACACAATCCTTCTCTGGCATCTTCTCCAAAACTTTCTTCGCGTCCTCTAAGCTCCCACATTTTCCATACATATCTATTAGAGCGTTACCGACATATAAATTCGTGATAAACCGAGACTTCACAACAATCCCATGAAGTTGTCTTCCCAATTCCAGCGCCCTGAGTCCGCTGCAAATCTTGAAAACAACCGGAAACACGAAAAATTCCAACCCAACATCTTCCAATTGCAATTCCATAAAGTGAAAAAGAGCTTCTTCATAAAGGCCACAATCAACGTAGACACTGAGAATAGCAGTCCAAGCATACAAGTTTCTCAGAGGCATTTTCTCGAACACAAGAGCGGCATCCTCCAAACGGCCGCATTTTGCATACATCTGGAGCAGCTTGGTCTCCACAAACTCGTGCCCACAGAAGCCGGTTTTGACAGTGTGGGCATGAACCTGTTTTCCCAAATCTGGGCATCGACAGGATTCGAATATGGAAGCGTAAGAGCTTGAATTTACTGCTCTTTGAAAGGAAAGATTGGTGGGCTTATGAGACTGAATCTTGTAATCATGATTCAATTTCAACGGTGGTGATGGTGCTGAATGTGTGATGACTTCCACAAGTTGAGCAGACATTTGAGCTGTGCCCATGAACTTGCATGGAAGTGAGAATTTTTTCCACGAACACAATTTCTTTTTTTTTTTTTTTCTTCCCTCCTCTTGTAGAGAGTACTTGAGTCACTGAATTGGGGCCTGAAATTTGGGCTTAAAAAAAAATTACATATTCTACTTTCTTTTAAATATCTGATTTACTAAAATTATTTATTTTAAAAAAATTTACTCTTTAACTAATTTTACTTTAAAAAGTAGAAATATATAAATTAATATTAAAAAGTAAAACTAAAAAGAGACGTATTTTTTAAAATTTATCCTAAAAGAATGACTATCTATTAGGGTGCGTTTGGTTATAGTGACGGAATTGTAATGGGAATGGTAATGGGAATGGAATTGGAATGCGCTGAAATCATAAACTGATTCCATTGTTTGATTGGAAATATGGAATCAACATCTGAATGAGGATTATGCTGTTTGGTTGATAATAGAATGGAATTGAAAAAATTGTATTTCGACAAAAATACCCTTGATTAATAATCCTAAATAATTTAATATTTTAATTAATTAAAATAGTAAAAACATAATTTAATTATTGAAAAAAACTTTTTATTTGAAAGATAGTAATTTAAAAACTATATTTTAATTGTAAAAAAAATAATATTTGATATTTTTATGTAATAATAAATTATCAGAAGCTTAAATATGATAACTTTTGACATCTACCATTATATGTTCTGTGAAAAATATAATTTTAACCCCTGTCAATATAATTTTTATGCAATATTGTCACACTATAGTTTCTTAATAATTAATGCATACATAAATTTTTTAAAAAAATCAACATCTCATCCCTTGTAAATAATATCACTAAGTCATAACATAATATCACTTATAGTCAATAAAAATAAGCATAAAATCAACATCCACTTATGCCTGCAATCCTACCGTGGTAAAACAAAAAAAAAAGTGAAAATGAAGATAGTATACTTATGCCTGCAACATCCTACCGTGGCAAGTAAAGCATGAAAAACATGTTTTGAACTTGCCACACTTATGCCTGCAACATCCACGATTATATATATATATATATATATAATCAATTGAACTACATATATACAATTGAGTGTATACAATAACGTTGGAACAATAAAATTGAGAATTCAATTATCAAATTTCTCTCCTTTTGGACTACACAAAACCGAAATTGGGTGCAACAAATTCAGATAAATAATTAAATTCAGATTTTGCCCAAGTTATGAATCTCCATATGAGTTGGTATAAAAATGTTAGGGGCCCTTGCAGTATTCTTTCTGCATTTGATAGCTCCAGTAACTAAGCAGCACAATTTAAAATCTCAAATTTTATGTTGGGATCAAACTACATAAATATATATACACACACACAGAGGCTTTAAGGCTCCACTAATCCAAATACATCACTAATAAACTAGAAATAAAACAATCTTATTCAAAATCATCAGCAAATTCCCAGATCATTGCCACTTCAATCAATTGTTAGAAAATAAACATCAATTAATAACAATCTGATATAATTGGTTAACCTAGCTAATCCGCATAAGAGATCAAAAATTCAAAACCGGAAAACTAATCGTCTAATCTTCAATTACCAAACGGAAAATTCCAAAATGAGATCAGATCTAAGCGAAAAAACACTTATTACACCAGGGGACGCCGAGTGATCCGAAATCGGATTCGAGAGCGTCGAAGTTGAAGAAACCGGATCGGTAAACGGGGTCGTGAGGAGAGACGCAGACGAAGGTCCGGGAGTGGAAGACTAGAGGTGAACGGAATCGGTAAACGGGGTCGTGATGAGAATGAGGGCGAGAGAGAGAGCGCAGGGCCAGAGAGGACCCAATCGGGCAAAGTAGAAGGTGAGGCGAGTGGTGAAGAAGGAGAAAGGGTGGCTGACCTGACCTTGCCGGAAATAGAGGGGCCGGTGAAGCTACAACCGGATCTAAGGAAATCGAAATACGAGGACGAGATTGAACGAGCCAAATAGAGTGGAGGAAGGCCGAAAAGGAAGGGTTCCGGCGAGACTCGATCGGCGGAAGAACGGCTCGGGTTGCGACGGCGATGGGAGCTCGGGTGGTCACGACGGCGATCGGAGCTTGGATGGGCGCGACGGCGATGGGAGCCCTAGGTTTCTCTCTTCTCCCTTGAGCCTTGGGAGCCTCGGGGACAATACGGAGAAAATGATAAAATGGGCTGAATGGAAAAGCCATTCCACATGAATGGCCATTCACTCAAAATGAGTGAATGGGCTTTCCTACGGAAAGCCCTTTCTAACCCAAAAAATGAAAGCAAACAATGAAATTTGATGGAATGACTTTTCCTTTCTATTCCATTCCCTCCGACCAAACATACCCTTAGTGTTTACAGTGTCAGGGTTGAAAGGCATGGGTTAACGGGATACAATCGTATTTTGACTTCAAGTAGTGGCAAAGATAATAGGCATGGATATTGGGGCGATTTCATAAATACATGTCCAAGTTTAAATTTTTTATATAATTTATTCTTTTTTTTTTTTTTTGAAAATTTAGTTTTGTAGTAGGGACGTTTCTTATCTTCTGAATGTTTGAAACATTTTTTTTAAGAAATAACTTATTAAAGATAATTCTGTGTCTTTTTTTTTTTTTCCAAAATGCACAAGGGATAAATTTGTAATAAGATTTTTAAATCGAAAAAGAAACCTTTACGGTTTTTAAACATTGAATGATAAAATGAGAAAAAATCAAAACATTGTTTATTATAGTCTGTTTATTTCGTTAATTTGAGTTAAAAACTTGAGTTAAAAATAAATCAATTTATGTGAGAGAAAAAGTGTAACATAAAAAATTAAACTTAAATTTTTATGAAAGAAAATATTATAATAAAAATTTAAATTATGATTCGAACTAACGAAATGAATGAGACGTATATTTTGTTAAGATATAAATAATATATATGTTAAGATGTGATGTGACATTACTCGTTTTATACGTTCATTTACAAATTTTTGTAAGAATTTCTTCCTTTCTTGTCATGGAATTGGAAAGCAATAACGCTCTCTCGTGACGTAAGTAAAACTTTCTTCACTCCTTTTTTTGTCGTTGAGCCGCCTTTGTGGCTATTGAGTATTGGGTATAGCCTTGTATTTTCCATCCCGATGAAATCAACGATTTGAGCTTCATACGATTCTATATAAAACTTAGGCCGTGTTGATTTCGTTGATTCGAGTTTAGAATTTAAATTTTGTTACAGTAAAAAATTCTCATAAACAGTCACATTTAATTTTTTTACTATAGTAAAAAATTCTCACATAAAATCACATCTTAATTCGAATTAAAAATTTGAATCAGTGAACTAAACAGGCCCTTACACACATTTACATCATGAATGACGGGTAAAATATTTCCATACTGTTGGTAAAATTTGCTGTACGTTTTGGTCCATTAGGAAAAAAAAAAATGGTGAATTTATTTACAGAAACTTCTTAACTTTTGTTGTTGTTGAAAATACTAATTTATTGACCATATCACTTAGTATAACAAATTATATAAATAAAAGTTATGGACGTGTTTAAAACTCGTTTTAAAATGATTTTATTTTTTTGTATAAAAATGAAAATGAAAACGTTTTTAATCTCAAACATAAATTATTTTTAAAATTGCGTTTGATAGTTTTATCAATAGATTGTTTTTAGTGTAAAAAAAACCCATTAATATCTCTCTTTCTCTTTGCTCCAGAGATGAGAAAATGAAAATAAAAAATGAAAAAAAGATTAAAAGTCGTTTTTCATTTTTCTCTCATTTTAAACTAAATTTAAAAATCATTTTCATTTCCGTTTTTTGTCTTTATTACGCCAAATGGAACGTTTTTATTTTTTTTTTTCTCGAAAACGTAAAAAATAAAAGTGAGATCAATTCTAAACACGAGATATATATCGTGCTAGGGTGCATGGTATAACCAAGCTAGATCAACCTTATTTGCCATTTCAACGAATCAAATGGGTCGTTTTTTTTTTTTTTTTTTTTCAACAAAGCATTGATTTTCCTTATATTTCATGGATATTCCTTTTCGGCTTTTCCCTATTTTCACGGGCTCTCTAATGTCTTATTTGGCAATAATTCCAATAACATCATGATCGAGAAAAGAAGGGAGTCAATGAATGCCAATTAACATCTCCAGATATGGCTTTCCAAAATTTTGGCCATTTTATGTACATGACCTTTAATTATCAAGCAGCTGGGTATGAATCCTAATGAAGGTGATGATCGTCGTAGACATAATGGTATAGTTGTTAAGTATATTTTACATGCAATGAAGCAAGCTACTCTTATCAATTTTCAAGCTAAAAACGACACAAGAAAAATAAATAAATAGTTGTAAACTATCCTTTTTATAATTGATATTTTTATTATTGACCTCTTTAATTGTAACTATTCTTTAAAAAAAAATCAACTTCTATAATTTTAAGCAAAAGGGACAAATACTAAATTAAGGGGACAATATTGATTTTACATTGAATTTTAAGGTTCAAGAAATTTCAACCAGCATTTGGTTAATGGATTCGTGCCACGGTTCGGATCATAATTCGTGATTCGTTCAGTATTTTTTCTCATAAAAAATACACATAAATCGAGAATAATTTTATAAACTAAATATACACTCAGTATTTTTGACTATAAATTTTTACTTTTTTTTTTTCCTTTTCTTTTTGCCACTCCAAGTCACAACAATCCCAAATAGTCACCACCATTATAGAGTTTCGAAATCTTCGGCGTTATAATTCAAGCCATTGACAATTTGACGTTATCCAGAAAATTAAAATAATAAATAAAAATAAAACTATTGACAAATTTGTATGTGCTGAAGAAAAGTGAGCCCAAGAGAGGCTAAACTGATCCGGCAAAGAAAATAAAGTGACTTTGGTGACACCAATTACCCTATAGGAATTTTAATCCCTAGGCCTAGCTAGCTAGTGCTAAACAGCTTAGATACAAAATAAATCTAAGGATGTGGTCATAAAATAATAAATTATTGCAGATCATAGTCTAGATATTTGAGGATTTGGCAAAGTGGAGTAGATTATCATTCTACTACACGGTTACCGAGGAGAATGTTTGTGTGGGTCCCACTCTAAAGGGCTAATAAAGAAAAGAATGCCCACTATAAAGGTAAAGCTTTCTTTTGGCTTTACAAAAAAAAAAAAAAAAAAAAAAAAAAAAAAAAAAAAAAAAAAGGAAACGAGAGAAGAATATGGAGCCTTTATATTGGAGATCGGTGAATAATCATTGAAGGAAATGGTGCATATTGCGGTGACTGATGATCAGCCCTTCAAAGGTGAGTGCTCTCATAAAAAGAAATCATCACAAGGCGAGCAATATAATTAGCTAAAAGCAATCCAGGTTTGCGGCAGAGATTATGGAATTTGCTTGCTTCTAGATCATTTTTATCAAGATATTAATATTAATCTAGATTTAAATTGAAATAAAATAAAAAAATGAAAGGTGGAAAAAAAAAAACAACGAAGAAGAAGAAGAAGAAGAAGAAGAAATTGTGGCTGATGGGTCATCACTTATACCTAACTTGTGAACACACTATATATATATATATACATATATATACACACACACACTCTTCATTGGCTTAACAATCCTATTTATGTAAATGTATTGCTTTAGTGGATGGAAGAATCTGAAAGATTAAGATGATGGTGCTAAAAAGACCCGACATTAATTCTGACCCGTAGGCAACCAAAAAGAGAAAAGAAAAAAAGGGGATGCAACTTTTTGTTATAAAAGGACTGAAAGCCATTATTCCCCATTAATATTAATTCATCCCCTTTAAAGCTCCAAATGAGGTAATTAACCATCTTAATTAATTATAATCCTCTAGAATAATCAAGCCACACAGATCCCACTTCTACTAATCTTTAAAAAAAAACAAAAAAAAAACAAAAAAACATATTATAAGCTATCTGTTCAAACTGATCATACATGATGTATATGATATAAAACATAATAATTAGCAACCCTTGCTAAAGCATGAACAATGAATACATATATATATATATATGTATATAATTATTTAGTACACGAACTCATAAAGAAGTAGTAGTACATTAAAAGTCTCAAACTATTGCTAGCTGTGGCAGATCATGAAAGGCATGATGATCAGAAGGCCATGGGTGCATTATCTTCTTGACGATGATCCTGATGAAGCCTTAAAAAGGAGAAATATGAGATGAAAGACTTGCTTGGTGGCCTTTTTTTGTTTTTTGTTTTCTTTTTCTACCTTTACGAATACAGCACTGCACCACACCCTTGAAGCTGACCTAAAATATAGCTTCAAAACATCCCACATTGATTTAAAACACCAAAAGAAACACTAAAAGAAGAAAAAAGGTTAAAAGAAAAATAAATAAATAAAATAGATATTTTTTCAAAGAAAAAAAGTACAAAAAGCGAGAAAGAACCCAAATGTACCCTAATCTGTTAGTAATTTGATGAGCATCAAGCCACGCACTAAAGAAAAATAAAATCATGAAACAATTAAAAATCTCCACCTTCATGTCCAAAATGTTACGTCTGTTTTTTTTTTTTCCTGTTTATTTACCACGAACCTCCATGACCTAACATTCCATTCCAATTATACCCGTTGGAAATATCTCCTTGCCCTTTGATATTCAGCTCAAACTGATGATGTTGATGTTGATGATGATCATGATCATGATCATGAGTATTCGTAGTTGTGGTAGTACTGGAAACTTGCTTCAAATCCTGATCATCAGTACTAGGAAACAAGAGCCTCACACCAGTAGTACTACTCTCTTGAACCCCATGGAGATTCCCATCTTGATGATCATCCATATTGTAACCATGATGATGATGATGATGATGATGATCAAGACCAAAACTAAGGGAAGGCTTGAATTCTTGAGCCAAATTAGGAAACCCAGTTGAGAACATTGTGTTGGAGTTATGATGATCTGGATTATTAACCGGCATCGACATGAATGAACCGATCAAGCCGCTGCCATGATCCCTTGAAGCTGCCGTCTTGAGAAGCTCCATAGTAGTGCTAGGGTTTTGGGTGTGGCTGATCTTGTTATGATCAATACGGGTGGTACTATTGTATGGAAGTTCCACAAATGATGTAGAGATACTGTTGTGATGATGATGATGATGATGATCATGATGACTACTTGTTGGTGGATAAGCTAGGTTGAGATCTTGGGCATGGTGGATTTTAGGGTTCTGATCAGGTGGGAAATTTAAGCTTGGTGGTGGTATTATGTGATGATGATCAACATTGAGTTTCTTTGGAGCTGAAGATATTGGTAACAAAGAGTTAGATGAAGAAGAAGTTATTGTTGTTGATGATGATGATCTCTTGTTCTTCCTTGAGCCACCACCCACAGGAACATTTCTGAGGGACCCACCTTCAGTCCAATACCTTCTACAAGTCTTGCAGAAGTATCTAGGCTGAGTCAAACTGTAATTGTTGTAGTAGCAGAATTTGGTGTTGGTTGAGTTACACCTTGGACAGTTCAAAGCTTGATCCTTTTGAGGCCTTGCTCTTGATCTTTGATCTAACATATTATTAGAATTATTATTATTATTATTATTAGCCTGCTTTGAAGTACTTGCCTCCATGGGTTTAACCACTCCAATACCCTGAAAAAGATTAAAAAAAAAATTTGAGGAAAAGGCCATAACTTAATGGAAAAGTATTTGTCATACAAGAACAAAGATGGAGAAAGAAAGTTAAAAGGAAACAAACAAGAAGAGAACAAGATAACAAAGAAAACAAGGAAGGTGCTTTACACTTGTGAGGGTTACAACATCAACAATAACAACAACAACAAAAACAACTAGCTTTTTCAGCTGGGTGCTTTTTATCAGATGATATGAAAAAGAAGGGAGAGAGAAAATAAAAAAGAAAGGAAAAAAGGAAAAGAAAAAGAAAAGAAAAGGGAAAGAAAAAGTGCAGTACTACTTTCAACTTTCAAGATAAAATGGAAGAGATTTTGGAATGACCAACAAAAATTCAGATAATATTTAGTGGGGGGTTGAGCTGATAAGCAAACATCATCATCTTTTTGAAAGAAAAAGTAAAACTACTACCTTTTTAGAGCTAGCAAGAAACCAAAGAAGAAAATTCTCAAAAGCACAAAGTTAATCAAATTATACTATATATTTTTTTTTTTTCCAAAATATCAGCTTTTGCCCCTAATTAAAAACAAGATCATCAAGATTGATGTTTTCATGCAGTTCATGAAGAAGAAAATTATAAAAAGAAAACAAATTAAAGGTCCGACGTTTAATTACCTGAGGCCAGTGAGCCGTACTATCCATGGATTAAGACGGAAACAAAAAAGGAGAGGAAAAAGAAAAAAGTTATGCAGTCTTGAGAGAGAGAGAGAGAGAGAGGAAAACCACCCACTTTTCTAGCTAGATGGTCTTAAAGCAATAGCTGGATCACTAGAGAGATTGGATATGGGGTGGTTCCATGTGTTGGCCAACTATATGAGAGAGAGAGAGAGAGAGAGAGAGAGAGAGACGAGTATATATGCATAGTCATGTTATATATTATATGATATGTTTTGGCATTAGTCAATATATTGATATTCTTTTTTCGTGTCTATATACGCGCATTTGCACTGTTTGCACTTTAGCGGCTCTCTATCTCTTTCTTTCACTTTCTGATGATCAGAGACGTGAGAAGTGTATAGGCTTTTTCCTTCTTCATTGTCAATCTTCTGTGAGGGAACTAGGTCGGTTTTAGAGGTTATTATAAAAAGAAAGAACAGGAAAGGAAAGAGAACTGTAAAGCTCTCTGACTAATTTACCTAAATCTTGTGACTGCAGTGTTGTACTCATCATTGGTATATCTATATATATATATATAGGCGGGCCTCAATTTGTATATAATTCAAGTAACAATAAGATAATTCCAAGACTCTTTTGCCTTCTCTACATGGTAAATAACATTGAGAAAGAAAAATAATTCACGAACAGTTCAGTAATTATATGCAAATGATACGAAGATTCTGTAGTTGGTTCACCATTAATGTTATTGGTGTTCATTGGCTAGCCAATTTTCGTTTAAAGATTTTCACTGTTTGTACTTGTGATCATACTAAAAATCTAGATCGGATATGTTCGTTTTGTGACATCCGTTAATTTCACCGATTTGAGTTTAGTTACAGTAAAAAGCTCTCAGAAACAGTCATATATAACTTTTTTACTACAGTAAAAAACTCTCACATAAAATTACATCTCAACTCGAATTAAAAACTTAAATTAGCGAACTAAACGGAGTTTACAATTTTCTTCTTCCTAAATCGATTGATATTACTTGTTTTTGCGTGTATTGATATCTTGGAGTTCTCTTTGGCTAGTATGTTGTTTAATTTGCTTGATTATTGTTATTTTTAGATTATTTGTCTTAGTGATTAACGATTATTAGTTAAAAAGCACTTTTCATGATAATTATAAAAAATTTGTTAAAAAAAATTGAACTAAAATTTTCTCTGTTTCGGTAATTATATTATTACCGGCTAATAAAGAGTTCAACTCTAGAATAGGTATACGAAATTACCATAAGTCTTGCATGTAATTACAATTTTCTCTGATTTTTTTTTTCTAATTCTAAAATGAAAGATCTCAAATCAAAACACCTCAACTTTAAAGTATGTACGAGAATTTTTTCCCTACAAAGTGGGTACGAGATTAATTCGAGCATGTAACTGAACTTTTTCATTTTATTTTGTTTGAAATTCTGAAATTTCTAAAGTACTTGTCAAATGAAACTCAAAATATTGAAAAATTCACTATTTTTTTTTTCTACATCTCCTACAACAATTGCATAGGGTCTTTGAGAAGAATGGAAACAAAATGTCAATTTTCAATTTGCTAGAAACAAAATGATAACAGTTATAAGTACATTTGACACCTTCATAATCTTAGATAAATTTTGTGTATGGACAATAACATGACCTATTAGAAGTAGACACAATTTAGAGATAAACCAACAATTATGAAATAAGGATAGGAAAGAACTATGTAGTGGGAAATATAATCATATATGTGATCACTAGAGGTTAGTGAGAAAGTAGCTAGAAGAAGTAATATTGGCACATAAAAGTCTACGTCACAATGAATAGACTTTCTTTATATGGGATTGGATGTTTTTCAATGCTAAATGTTTTGTATATAGTAGCGTGTGTATTATGTAGTGTATATATAGTTATATATATATGGTCATGGTGTTATACTGTTATATATGAATCAAGATTTCTGGTCCTATTTTTTTATCTCGATGACTGTCATTCTAATTAAGTTTTAGCACTTTGTAAATGCATAAATATTTTTAATATTTTATTTTTATTTATGTGATTGGATTCTTAAATTTAGATGATATGATAAATAATTAATAGAGAGAAAAGTATCCAGACAGAAAAATAAAAATAACAAAACTAGACTTGTGATATATACGTATCCATTTAAGAAATATACTCAAATCATAACTTTTAGTCATAACATTTAAAATTTAAAATTTTTTATAAAAAATGATATAACAGAAACAATAATTTAAACTTAAATATATAAAATAAATCACGGTGCAATGTCTACTTGGATGCACCCGACCCGAGTGAATATATGTGGTGTGGAGGGGTAACACAACACTAACAATAACCTCCAAAAGGCGAAGGCATATCTATTCATGTGAAGAGACACGTGGCGGGAGATAAGGGGAGGAGTGGAATGTCCCAATGGGCAGAGCTTCTGTGTGATAGCGAAACGTGTCGGTGACGTGGAGAATAAGGAGAATATTTAGGAAAGTGCAAGAGAAAGAGAGAGAGAGAGAAAGTGGGTCCCATGGGGAGGAGCGTGCTCTATGTGGCAGCGTGGTGATTGGACGCCAAAGAATTTCAGGTTGATTTAGTTCATTTTATCAATTTAAATTTTTAATTTTAAATTTTTATAATAAAAAATTTTAAAAAAATATTATATTTAATTTTTTTTGTTACAGTAAATATTTTTAAAAATATCACATCTTAACTCAAATTAAAAACTCAAATTCGTAAAGTTAACGAAGCTAAAATTTTTAAAGCATGTGCTGCCTTCCGGTGAGACTGTGAGAGAGATTATCTGACAGACATATTTGGTCATACGACGTCACGGTAGTTGTCGTTTCAAGGACGTGGACAACTCATTTTTCCTCCACGTTTATCATATTCTCACTATACGCTCCTTTTCCCCACTGAAATTAAATTAAACTAAATTAAAGAAATTCCGTGACATTTTAGGATTGAATTTCAGCCGCTGAATCTCAGTTATTAATGAAAGAGAATCTCAACTATTAAACAACAAAAATAATTGATTTTAGCTATTTTTGAAGAAAAAAGTTGTATGTTGTTTGTAGGCTCTCTCTAGTGGTAACGCTTAGTCTCCATCTCCTCCTCCATCAATCAAATTATAATAACCCTTTTTTTTTTTAGAGGGACAAATTATAATAAATAATCTAGCCAGAGAACAAAATCAAAATTTTCAGCACTTTTTTAAAGACTATTACATTTTGTAATAGAAAATATGTATTTTGTGATGAGAAAAAACATACCTCTACACACGCACACAGTAAATAATAATAATAATAATAATAATATAATAATAAAAAAGATAAAAATTTACTTGGTTTAAGTGAGAAAAAAATTTCACTAACAGTTTTAGAATTACACACTCAGTAAATTTTCTCACTTTCTCTCTCTACTCAAAACTCCTTACACTTTTTGTTTATCTCTCTCCTCACTTTTCTGTCTTTCTCTTAAAATAAGACATTCTTTCTCTACACTTCTCTCTCTAAGCACACAAAACCCTACACGAACCACCTATTTATAGACTCCTATGAGTCATAAAATAACTCTTGTCCAAAAATCAATTTGAGGCAATTACTTAACAATCTCCATATTGACTCAAATTCTCTCTACTCACTCATTTAAGTATCCAATCTCGACACTCGTCATTGCACTCCTCATGGATGGGATGACAATGATGCTACTTCATCAAGAATAAACATGTGAGGAGTTCAAACTTTTATCAAACATGACACGAGGAACCGACTTGTTCTTTTTCTTTAAAGCATCTTCATTGCCATAAGTTTTCATCATTTTGCATTTATTGTCTTTAATTGTCATCATCTTGTTACATTCATTTACTCCTACAACTTATTTCACAACAAAATAAGACTTTTCATGGCTTACCTCCACCTCTATAGCTCTACCTACAACTATAGTCCCAATCAACTTATGCAAGTTTTTCACTTTTACACCCTTCATGGCTACTAAATCACCTCTCTTGACTTGTATAAAACCATCATTCGCATAATACTCACAACCCAAAGTATCTAAAGCCCTTAAAGAAATCAAACTTCTCCTTAATTGAGGAATACGTCTAACATTTATCAATTTTTTCACAACTCCATCAAACATCTTCACCTTCACAGTACTTATTCTAACAGTTTTAGCACTAGAATCATCGGCCATCAACAAAGTACCGGCATTACAGGGCTTATAAGAACAAACCACTCCTTATATGGGCACATGTGAAATGAGCATTCATAATCCAAGATCCAAGAGTCAGAAATATTTTCATCAGCAATAACAGAATACACATCATCTTCACTGTCATACCTATCGCCAACAACATTTGCAGAATCTGAAGTCTCTTGAGTTTCTTGCTTTCTCTTTTTTTCAAGGTGTTTTGTCAGCTCTTCACAGTTTCTCCTAATACTCCCATTCTTATGACAGTAATAGCATTCAGGGTGTGTTTGGTTGGAGGGAATGGAAATGAATCAATGTTCATTCTTATGTTTGGTTGGATTTATGAAAAGGAATTACCATTCAAAATGGAATGACTTTTTCATTAAATGGGTGAATTATCATTCATTCATCATATGAGAGGCATGCTCATTCCAAAATCTTTTAATTTTCTTTTCCATCATTACCCTTAAATATTATAATATTAATATTTATAATATTATTAATATTATATTATAATGTAATTATATCTTATAACATATAATATAATATATTATAATTATATATGTATGTTATAATATATCATATTTAATATTATAATAATATCTTATATTATGTATTATACATTGTAATTATATTTATCATTAATATAATATACAATATAATCGTCATATTGTAATTAATAATAATTATTATAACTATATTTATAATTATAATATAATAAAATATAATATAATATAGTTATGATATTGTAATAAATAATTATAATAATAATTGAGATAGTAGTATTTTCTATAAAATTAAATATAATAATTATATATTTTATAAATAATATTATATTATATTATATTACATGATGTAGATGTGATGTTTTCATTAATAATATGATAGTTATAATAAAAATTAGATAATTATATGTATTATATCCTTATAATTATATATATATATAAT